TCCAGAAGGTTTTGGCCCCATCATGACCAGGGCATTATTTGCTATTCAGCACTGTGCAATTTTAACTGGCTATTGCGCGGAAATACAACACTGTATGCAAATGAAATTTATATACATTTTTTACACAAATAGAGCTTTCTTTTGGTGGTGTTTGACCACCACTGGGTTTTTCATTTTTCATTATATAAAGGAAAAGAGACCGAAGTTTTTGAATAGAAAACAATGTTTTACTTTCTGTTATAAAACGTATCCAATAAAAAAAAAACAAATTTCTTCATAAATATAAGCCAAGATATATTCTGTTACATGCCTTTTGTATGAAAAAAATCCTAATTAGTGTATAATAATTGCTTTGTATGAAAGTTATAGCATCTATAAAAGATGGTATATATACTGGAATTTACGCAGTTATGACACTATACTGGTAATGGCAGCGATCAGCGACTTAAAATGGAACTGTGATAGCGTGGTGGGTAGTTTGGTGCTAACAGACCCTTTCTGGAAAGTATATGGACACTGACATCAATAGTGACACACATTGGGTGGGAGGTCTTGTCATTCAAATAATGCTAGCACTATCCCTAAAAGAGAACTGTAGACAACAATGGAGTATTTTGTAAAGCCCCCCCCCCCCCCAAAAGGAAAAGGGGGAAGGGAATTATGGAACAGTGGGGAATTTTAAAGGTGCTCTGTTACTCCACATAAGAACCCATATATATGGTATAAAAACAGTTTTATTTATACAAAATCAAAACAAGATAAATATCTTTAAGTTGTATACAGACATTCCATATAAGCTAAAATGCAAGCTGGGAATACATATATTTTTGAGCAAATAGAAGGACGAACCAACGTGTTTCGCCCAGAGAAGAGCTTCTTAAGGATCCACTTCATTCTATATGTTTTTGGTAAAATTGTAGCTGATAAACAATATGATTAAAAATTTGTATTAATCGCACATGACAGAAAATAATAAAAACATCTGCAAACAATAGCCTATACAAAACATAGTACGCAGTGACAGGGAGAACATGCAAACTTCAGGCAGGTGGTGCCGTTGCTGGGATTCAAACAAACGACGCTAGTACTGCCAGGCGGATGTGCTAACCATTTAGCCACTGTGCTGCCCCAAATTTCTTAATTATTTTCTTTTTTGCAAGAACAAGGGCTGCTCCATATCCCAGACTATTTATGTTCTCCTCAGCCACCTACCGGGCATACCTCACCAGAGATTTGCTGAAACCCAATAAATATTTAGGCTGTCTATTTGACTTTCGCAGCCCTCTATGTTCTGTAAGCCTCCAGAATGCAGAAGAAAACAATCAAACCTCCAGCCTGTGAAATCTAGAACAGCACAGAGAAATCAATAGCAGTTTCAATGGTTGCAGATGAGCCAAATGTACCTATCATCCTAGCAACCCACCTAGGAGGGCACTACAAAAACAAAGTGCACGTATCTGTTTTTATAGCTCTTAACTTTCCCTCATTTGGAGGGACTGTCCCTCTTTTGAGACCAAATCCTTCTGTCCTTGGTGCAGCGTCCCTTGTCCCTCATTTTGGTGTGACGTGTACAGGTCTGTACAAAAATGTCCTTTCATTGGTGGTCAGTGGCAGTAATATTACTCCTCCCCCTCAGTTTTATTGCTGGTCCATGGCAGTAATATTACCCCTTCGCTCTCCAATTCATTGGAGGTAAGTGGCAGTAATAATACCCTTCCCCCCTCCATTTCATTGGTGGTCAGTGGTGGTGATAAAGCTTTGGTTGGTGGTTTTCTTCACTCCCCTGTTGCTGCATCTCTCCTCCACATGTCAGCCTGGCCTATAGTTCTAGTGTGGGGTGGGAATGACTTTGCAGTTTTTTTTCAGTGCTGGTATGCAGAGAGAACATTCCAGAACCCACCTACCACTCTGCACTAATACCGAGTGTCCCAAGTCCTGGTCTGTTCCACATAGTTTCCAACATTAGAAAAATGTTTAGGGATTCTTTTTGTTGTCTGTATGTCCAGAAAGCCAGTGTAGTATGCTAATTAGGGGTGGGGCATTCATTTATGGGTGTGGTTTATCCTGGAAGGAAAAGGTGGCGTCACGCTTCGCAAGCCACAATGCACAATTGGTGTATGTTAAATAACGTTAATTAGTGTGTATGGCTAAATAGAGAGATTTTCTTGGGCTCCCCATAACCAATTTTGCCATCCACCCCAACATCCCAAAAAACAAATACACACACACATAAACTTATCTAAAAAAAATTTAATAATGTAAACATAAAAGAACTGGCCCACACTTATTCATTGGTTGCTAGAGGTTACTGCACATCATTACCGTTCACTAATTGGGTGCTAGAGGTTACTGCAGTTAATTCAGGAGAGGGTCAGGGACTGCAGGCAAAGTAAAGGAGTTGGTCAGAGACTGCAGGCGGAGTACTACAGGAGAGGGTCAGAGACTGCAGGCGTACTACTACAGGAGAGGGTCAGGGACTGCAGGCGTACTACAGGAGTGGGTTAAGGACTGCAGGAGTACCACAGGAGAGGGCCAGAGACTGCAAGGGTACTACAAGAAAGGATCAGACACCGCAGGAGTAGTACAGGAGAGGGTCAGAAACTACTACATATGAGGGTCAGAGACTGCAGGCATATGCGTGACCCCATAGAGTAGGTGAACGCATCAGGTGTTCCTATCCAAGTGACCCCATCAAAGAGTTTGGTAGTAAGAACACAGAAGAGATCTTTCAGCTGCAGCTGCTCTTGTCACTGTCGCCTGCAGCTGAAATATTAGTTCTGTGTAGTAAGAGCTCAGAGAAGTATCAGCCAGCCTCCCCATCCACTACCTCTGGTCTTAAAAGACGACAAGCAGTGTCCCCAGGGAAGAGCTTACCTGGCTTGCTCCTTCATGCAGGCACAAACTTTCCCAAGAAGGCTGCACAGCGCACACTGTGGCAGGATCCTCTACTGTTCACACTTGTTCAGCAGTTCCCTCATGGCTGACAGAAGTGCAGATCCCGAGGGGGCTCAATGGGGGAACACTACAGGCAGACTGGGGACTACTTTTCCATATTCAGGTGCGGCAGACTAATCTGTAGCACAGAAACTACCGTGAATTAAACTAATGTCCTGGCCACTTCTAAATCAATCTGCCGGAGCAATCCGGCGGATTGAGACAACAGTGGCCAGGAGTTTAGTTAAAAGAAACAGTGGCACTGAAGATTACTCTGTCAAAAATGGAAAAAGCCCCCAGCTTGCTGCAGCCCCCCTTCTCGCTGAGCAAATGGAACTGTTGCAGAAGTTAGGAAGCCCTTTCTGCGGCTGCCCTAGGATTGCCACCTCATCCCTTTAAAACCCAACACATATTAAGTGCACAGGTTCTGAGGCTAATTTAAAGCGGAGTTCCACTCAACCTATCCAAAAAAAAAAAATCAGCTACAAAAAACTGTACAAAAACAGCCACTTACCTGTCCCAGGATCCCATGGTGAGTCCCCCGCAGCTCGTTTCATTGGCCGTCCTGTATTCCAGGAGGCCGGCAACTTCAGTGTGGGCACCCGGCTGTGACAGCTTGCAGCTTCACAGCTGAGTACCCACTGCGCATGTGTGAGTAGCACTGTGCTTCATGAATGGTCCTGTAGTCTGCTGGGACCTGTCACGTCCCAAAAGACTACAGGGAGGGAGGGCACCTTCCGTTTCCGTACCTGCTCTCCCCCGCTCCCCAAAGGTGCCAATCCTTAATGGGGAGAGGGGGAGCAGTCCTTAAAGCGGAATTTCCCCCTTTTGGGTAGAGCTCCGCTTTAATGCACATCAGGCGCTATGTGATTTTAATTACCACATTAATCAGCCCCAGAACCTATGTAATAAATATATGTTAAGTTTTAAAGGGATGAGGTGGCAACACTAGGCTGCCCCCACCCTGATCTCCAATTTTCGGGACATCATTTAAATGATCGGTACTATCCTGGGCAATCAGTGACAGTTGGCAACTATAGTTCCTCAAAATCTAGGACACTGGGCAAATGATTTGTACAATTGTTAGCAGACACCTTCCAGAGGGAACACCTACTCTGGTGACAAGGAATTTCCTTTTGCTTTGGAGAGATTTCCTCTCACTTCCTGTTGTGTCGCTGAAAAAGAGTGATGGGAAATCTCCCCAATGGGACACAGACTGCACAACATTCAAAACAAAACCAGTCCTGGCTAGAGACAACTTCAGGGGTGGTAATTTGCATTCAGAACCACAGCGAACCCAGGACTTCCTCCACAGCACCCATTCATTGCTTTCATTTACTCAGCGGGAAATAAAGGACTCTGGAATCCTAGGCTGCAGTTGTCCTGTGGGTGTGTGCATTATATTACCACATTAACTCTTAAAATCACAAAAGAAAAAACACATGTACTGCAGCTTATCCACGTTCTTGATTCCTGCCAGATACCAACATGGCTTCCACGGTGATCGCGGCTTGACGTAGAAGTACTGAGCCGAGTGAACGATGAGATTGGTAATCCTCGCAGGGGCTGCACGCCGAACGCCTCGTTCCAAACCCAAAGCAGAGAAGGCCGGATGTTAGGCTGCTCTGTGATCACGTGATCTCGCCACGCGTGGGCCCTTCCCTGTGTTATGCCGGGAGAGCAATACAGTGCGGCGAGTTAACCCTTCTAGGGCCAGGCAGACCGTGCTTTGCGTATGTGTATGGGGGGGAGCGGCTTCGTGATTAACCAGTTCACTGCCAGCCGTGATATGCATGTACCATGTGTGTTCCAAGAGCAGTTATCGTATATCTTTGGGCTAATTTAACAAAAGAGCCATGTGCAGAAGTGTATACCAACCAATCTGCAGAAACCTTTTACTGTAGTGCTGGAAAGTGAAGCCTTCCTGGCTAGGGAGGATAGGCCATTTGTAGTGATTGGTACCTAGTAGGAGGATGGAGTGACTACTTTTTACCGGTATATACATATTATCATCTCTGTGGATACTCAATTTTCTTTTCCCAACAGTTAAATATTCCTGAAAGAAAATGTCTGGAATAAAAAGAACCATTGAAGGCAAGGACCCGGATTATGAAGATATATCGGTCGTTCATCAGAACAAGCGGCATAAGGCCATTGAAACATCAGGTAGATAAAGAAATCGTTCTTTCCAGCAGATTTTCATTCTCAAAGCACTGGGTACTCAGCTGGCTAAGGGGGATTACAAAGAGTGGCGTAGGATCTGTTTCTGCACCACTCTTTTAAGATGAGCAAATTTAGCTTAGAATTAAATGCTAAACTTTCCTGTCCTTCAGTGGTCCTTGTTACTTACCTGTCCTTCAGTGGTCCTCGTCACTTACCTGTCCTTCAGTGGTCCCCGTCACTTACCTGTCCTTCACTGGTCCCTGTCCCTTACCTGTCCTTCAGTGGTCCCCGTCCCTTACCTGTCCTTCAGTGGTCCTCGTCACTTTCCTGTCCTTTAGTGGTCCTCGTCTCTTACCTGTCCTTCAGTGGTCCTCGTCTCTTACCTGTCCTTCAGTGGTCCTCGTCTCTTACCTGTCCTTCAGTGGTCCGCGTCACTTACCTGTCCTTCAGTGGTCCCCGTCACTTACCTGTCCTTCAGTGGTCCCCGTCACTTACCTGTCCTTCAGTGGTCCCCGTCCCTCACCTGTCCTTCAGTGGTCCCCGTCCCTCACCTGTCCTTCAGTGGTCCCAGTCCCTCACCTGTCCTTCAGTGGTCCCCGTCCCTCACCTGTCCTTCAGTCCCCGTCCCTCACCTGTCCTTCAGTGGTCCCCCGTCCCTCACCTGTCCTTCAGTGGTCCCTCTCGTCCCCCTCACCTGTCCTTCAGTGGTTCTCGTCCCTTACCTGTCCTTCAGTGGTTCTCGTCCCTTACCTGTCCTTCAGTGGTTCTCGTCCCTTACCTGTCCTTCAGTGGTTCTCGTCCCTTACCTGTCCTTCAGTGGTGCCCGTCCCTTACCTGTCCTTCAGTGGTCCCCATCCCTTGCCTGCACCGGCATCCTCCTCTGGGTTCCGGTCTTTGGCTGTTTTTCATTGACCAACGTGGGATGATGTCACTCGTGCACATATGCAGGATCTCAGGGATCATGCCTGTGATGTAAGCTGAGCTGGGCAGTTAGGTGAATTTTATTGCAGAAGAGACATTGGGGGAGATTTACTAAAAACTGGAGCACGCAGAATCTGGTATAGCTGTGCAAAGTAACCAACTGGCTTTTAAAGGATTTTTGGACAAAAATAATTAATGCACATTTTTTTGCAGGTAAAAAAAATGTGCATTTATTATTTTGTCCAAAGGAGCCTGGAAAGTATTGCACCAGCGATCAGTAGATTGCTGATGCTATGCAGGTCTCCTGCAGACCCGTCAGAATATCTGCCATAGGAGATGTATGGCCAAGCAGATATTCTGACAGAAAGCTTCAGTGAACTACCACAACGCTCCACAGCACGGTGGTAGTTCATTGAAAATTACAAGCCCACAGCCGTTAAGGCTGTCGGGACTTGCAGTTCATTAATTCTTGTAAGTTCATGAATGAAAGACGTGGCTATGTGGGCGGAGCCACACTGTTTTCAAATTTGACAGATAGACAATACGGGGAGAAGTCTCCCCGTACTATCAGAGGGAGGGGGGGGTGGTGGGCGCTACTGAGGCTATGGGAACACGTAACATGTCCCCAAAGGTGAACTTCAAAGGTTTAACTTCAGCTTGTTCAATTAAGCTTTGAAAAAACCTGGAAGCTGGTTACTATGCATCAGTTTTATTAAATCTTCCCTCTTGCATGTCTCTTCTGCAATTAATAGTCTTCCTCAGGGATACGCAAATCATATTGCCCGATGCCCTGAACATACAGTTCCAAGTGCCAAGCAGGTGTTTTTTTTGTTTTTATTTATTTTTTTATATTTAGCCCTGCTTCTGGCAAGTAGCCTCTTTAGCCTGGTTCACACACGTGTGCTGAAATCAATGCTCCTTTGTGAATACCATTTCCGTTTCTGTGTGACTTTAGTACATGTGCGATTTTGCCAGCTCTCTCTCTCTACAACTGCCTTCCATTGACTTAAATTTTTTTTAAAAATCCGATTGACTTCAATGCATAATAGAGTCCCATTGACTGCAATTTAAAAAGCAATCCCATTGACTTCAATGCATAATCGTGTCCCATTGACTTCAATGCAAAAACGCCACTCTACTGTATTGCTTGCGAGCCTGGAATGCACCGCTACAAACTCCCACAGGACCCTTTTTGTAATAGCACTCAAAATGCAATGCTTGTGGATCGCATCTGTGTGAACCAACTCAGTAGGAACACATAATATCTAGCCTGTTATGCGAATCTGTGCATTTGAAAGCACATCCAGAATCGCATGTGTGAACCAGGGTGGCTTCATTCACAGCTGGGCATTTTGGCATCGCGGCAGAATCTCTGCGATTCTGCCCGCGTCTGCAAAACAGGTTCAGGTGCCATATTTTTTAATGGCACCTAAAACGTGCCTCAAAAGCTCCTGCTTAGGGTGACAAGCTTCATATGATGCGAATGGCATGACAATCGCAGCAAATTGAATTGTGTGAAGCTTATCGCCCCAAAAGAAGCTCCTGCTACTTTTTGGAAAACAAGCTTCATATGATGCAATTTGACGCGATTGCCACACAGTAAATTACATGACAATCACGGCAAAAGCGCACCGCATTTTAGGTGCCATTCGAAATTACATTTAAGCAAGTGTTTTGAGGGTGCAACAGAATCGCAGTAATTCTGCTGCAATCCCAAAACACCCAGGTGTGAACATGGCTTAATGGAGCGGAAAGGAGCTTGATTTGGCTGCTCAGCAGACACTAGTACTGAGCACCGAAGTGTTTCCGTATGCAAGGGTAAACTGTTTTTTTTTTTTTTTTTTTTTTTTCTCATTGGGGCCGGCACTTCATTACTCACTCAGCAGATTCACTTCTCCTGAGTATTAAGAGAGCCTGACACTCCCCTTTCCTGATGAGCACCCAATCGGTGCTCATCACTCTGCCCTCCCTGCTAGTCTCTGGGTGTAGTGCTAAAGACAGACAAGGAGGTGAGCAAATATACACAGCGTAATGTTAAAAACATTAAAATCAGTCTGTATATGCAGTAAAGCATGCTTGTTACACTCACTGTGGATCCTAAGGGGTTAATTCTCCACATTGTGCAAAAAGACTGTTTGATCCTGATTTCTCTGAGGTCCCCCTCTTATCTCCTGATAAGACATATCGTGTGGAGTTACTCAGCACATGCTCAGTTTGGTGTGTATTGCTAGAGAGGGTTTTTTTTTTTTTTTTTTTTTTTTTTTTTTTTACTTGGGAGTGTGCATGTGAGTAGCACAGGGCCAATCAGCACTGTCCAGACAGAGGACAGGGGTCCTGCATCCTCATAGAGCAGGGGTAGGCAACCTGTGGCTCTCTAGTTGTTGTGGAACTACATTTCCAATGAGGCATTGCAAAGATTACAAAACTGACAGTTACAGCTATGACTTGCAGAGGCATGATGGAACTTGTAGTCCTGCGGCTCTCAGGTTGCCTACCCCTGTCCTAGAGCAAAATGAAAACTCATTCTACAAACTTTAACGTGCTCTGCTGGACACTGATAGAAGTCACAAGACTGCTCTAACTGCTGATGAGAAAAGGTATTTAGCAGTTTAAATCTACTAAAATAATTGCACTTCCATGTTCTGTGTACTGTGGGAGACCAGATATAGTGAATGTAGGGTCCTGGGTTTAGTAACACTTTAAGTGCCGGTTCACATATATGCATATTGGATGTGGTTTGAACGATATCTAGTCCACATGACGTGAAAAAAACATTGCTTCCTATGGTGCCTTTTCACCTGTGTCTGGTGCACTGGCAGTGCGGATTCAGTGCGGTTTGAAAAAGAATCTTGTACAATTTCTGAGCAGTGCCTTCAGGTTCACGTGCGGATTACAGGCTATTGACTTCTATGGGAACCGTTTCTAAAGTGCATGTGTGAACAGGATAAGATCCTGACCTAATCCTGTCCTGAACCTGATGTAAAACCTGACTTAAACCAGTGAACAACGACCTAATCCTGTCCTGAACCTGATGTAAACCTGACTTAAAACCAGTGAACAACTACTGTATCAATTAGCTGTGAAACCGAAGCTTCAATCCGCACCGCACGTGTGAATCGGCTCTAAAAGTTTAATTTGCCATAAATCCCCTTTCGTTTTTAAAAGGCCCAGACATTTCTAAAAGCACCTCTGCCTAATGAAAAAGCAACCCTTTATATAATGGGACACCAATTGAGTCCCTTGGACAAGTAGTCTGTTAAATAATTTCCATACCCCTGCTGCCTGCCCGAGGCTTGTCTTAGTGGAACTTCAGTTATGTTTTAACAAAAGGGCGCAAGCCCCTCTGTTATTTGGCGTGATCTGCTCCCTGTTGTATGCTTGCTCCGATTCCCCTGGCCATCCCTGTTCAGCTAGGATCAGAACGGAGGAGGAGGAGTTCTACAGTGAGATGGATGTGAGCTGTCTCCAAAAGGTTCAAATCCTGTACGTCAGGTCCAAGCTAGTGGGATCTGTGGCAGGTTTCTATACTGATAACTGCCATGTACTTTTGGTTAATTAGATTTGATTAGTTAAACCCACGGCACTTTCTGTTTTACTATGAAAGAGAAACTGGTAGAGATAGACCTGAAACAGGCCTATCTGCTCTTTTAATGTGGTGCACGCTACTTTCACTTGTTTCCTGTATCAACATATTAGTGCAAGCTTAATTAACCAATTTTTTTAGGTTCTAGCATATGCTATGAGCTTTGAGGATGAATTGCTGCACAGTACCTACAGAGGTTGTTAAAGTTTTAGGAAAGTCTAAAATAAACAAAATTTAAAGCCCTTCACATTCACATGACCACACAGCTCTGTCTTGTGCCATTGAGAGGCCTGACAACTGAATGGACTGAGCCATGACATCACCCATCAGCTTTCAGTGTGCCATCCATTGTCGAGGGGGAGAGAGAGTTCCCTCCGATCAGCTTCAGCAAGCCTCTCGCTGACGCACAACAAATAGAGCTGTATGGTTACATATTTCCTCGGAGAACTGAAAACGGGTATTTACACTAATTTAGTGCAAACAGCAGTGGGGAGGCACCTCTTTAAACCTTGTTTACTTATGCCTTTACTTTAGGGACTTGTTTTAAAACTCATTTACTGCTTGGTAAAGGGTACTTAAAGCCAAGAACAAAAATTGTGTACAATATAGCTTTCAAGTCATTACAATTGTTGGTTGCATTCCTTTTTAAAGTACAGAAAAATGCCCATTAATCCTGCTAGAGTTCCAGTGCCCTTGTAACATCTGTACACTTTACCTTCTCCTTCTGTATTGGAGATGAGGCCAAGAGTGTAGTTTGTATTCCAAATCAGGTGAGCAGCCTAGGGTGACAACTCTGTTTCTCCACAAATATAGTGCAATCAGTGAGTGTTGTCTCCCTAGGACAGGATGTGTGTTATTGGCAAGTAAAAATACCAGAAAAAAACGAATGCAGCCATCACATCTAAGGACTGATTACAGTCCTTAGACATTTTGTTTTTAGGTTTAGATAAGCATAAGGGCTTTTTCAAGTTTGTATTAAAATCAATGTTTTTCTACAAGCCCTGCTAACACTGGAATGCAGGTGACAGCTGCATAAAATTGTTGCGTGGAAAAATTCAACAGGTTTGCATTTTTTCATAGCACTCCAGGTAAAAAAAAAAAGGTAAACTATGTCTTGCGTTGTAATAACGCAAGGTACTGCCCTCTGAAACCCTCCAGCACGGCCCTAAGCTAGTGTGAAGCAGTCTTAAACTCTTTCGCTACCACTGACGTATGTCATATGTCAGCAGCAATGGAGTGCTTTACGTACACACAGCTGGGAACGCATGTGAAACCTGACATGCCGATTGTTGGCTGTTCAGCCACTTGTTCACTTCCACAGAATAGTGCACTGCCCCATTTTGTTTCTGGGGCTCTGCTGTCCCAACTGTGGGCCTAGGACCCATATGGTGAGTGCCCTTGGGTAGAGGGGTTGCTGGAAAAGAAGCTAATGGTGGGTGCTGCTGGGTTAAGGTGTGACCCGAAAAGAAGTGAATGGAGCTCGATCTGCGCTTCATTAACTTTAATTGAAGACAAGTACATCACCGGGGTCTGATCAGAGAATCTGTCATATCAAAAATGCTGTCACATATGGGACGTTTGGTTCCCTATATAAAAGTAAAGTTAAGTACATATACGAAAGTAAACACACGTGTAAGCATAAAAAAGCTGATTGCGTTACATATAGCTGGACATGACGAAGTGAGAGCAATAATTCTAGGGTCATTATTTATGGATACTCTGAACTAATGTCATGCATGGGCTTTTTAAAGTGATTCTTATGGAAAATTCCACAGGAGCTCTTAGTTTTAAGCCTGACATGTTTATTGTCTATTTACTCAGTGCAGCATCATCTTTTATATTTTACAAAAAAAAAAAATGAGTAATGTTCCCTAAAATTAACTTTAGTGTATTTTTTGCTATAAATACTAACCCCATTTTATTGCCAGGGTCTCTGGTTTCAGAAGATTTTGGTTTGGGGGGTTAACTAATGTTCCAGCCTAAAATTATTTTTTTAACGTGAAGGAAAAAAAAAACGGCTCTGAAGATTAAAGGGTTAAAGAGGAACTTCACCTGAATCATTAAAAATCAAAGGCACCTTTAAAACATTTGTGAAATGGCAAATTAAAACATAATTTCTGTGCTTCAGTGTTTTTATGTGCACTGTTCATATCCCTGTGGCCACTTACAGTAAGGGCAGAGGATTCTCTCTCTCCTTGGAATTCTGGAAGATCCCACACATGTACATTTAGTGCTCTAGATGAGAACCTTTTTGTTTATCAGAGAGAAAAAAAAGCTTTGCCCTGGGATTCCATATCCAGATCTTTACTCCCATGAACTCCCTGGAAGGCACACTAGTGAGGTGGCCTTCCTAGGGGGCAACTGGGAAGCACTGGCTACGTCACAAGACTCCTAAGAAAAGGAGGAAATACAATTCCTACAAATGTAAGTTAACAAAACTTTTATTTTACAGTGCATGTAACATGATTACAGATCAACATACAACAAAGCTGCATGCATCCATGCTTTATAGTTTATGGATGAAATGTTCACTGGAACAATATGTAAACACTGTAATGGCCATACTGTTCACTTTAAGTTGCTCAAAGTGATTGGCTGAGTGCAGGAGCAAATGACTGCTGCCCAGTAGGGATGAGCTCAGGCATAATTCGGATCCTAGTCGAAACCCACATGAGTGAGCCCCCCAGGAAGCTGTAATCCGTATTGGTCCAATTGCTGGGAATACCTCAGATGCTTCTGATTGGCTTTGTGCAATGACCGTTTCCTAGCAGGATAGCTCACGTGGATTCAGACTATGATCTGAACACACCTAAGTTCATCCCTTTTGCCTAGATAGAAAGGGGCCAGCTGTAAATGTCTTCATGAAATAATGGCTACATATTGGATTGACTAGCATACAGCGGTTACAACTGGCACATATTTTTGTGAAATGGCATTTTTGTTCCCAAACGTATTAATTTGATTATCATTAGCACTATGTGCTACTGCTTGTTATCAATGTTTGTTGACTTTAAATGTCTTTTTATTTTCCTGCTGATATAGCTCGAGATGCTGCAATCTTGAAAATAGAATCAGTTGTTAAGGATCAGTTCGCTATTGAACTGAAGAATAAAGAACATGAGATTGAAGTTATTGATCAGGTAAGAATAACATAATGGTATCTGAAAATCTACTTGTGTTTTTTTAAAAATTAACCAATCAGTGAATCTTATGCACAAGATCTATTGGAGAATATTCCGCATGTATTTGTGCTCGTCTTATAAGACTAGCTTTAAGGGTCCTTTTTTTATATCTATATTCCCATCTCTGCATCATGTTGTTATTGTCTCTTCATGCTGCTAATGATTAGTGCAGAGACTGTAATAAATTTATGGTATTTTAGCAGAATCAGAGTGAGATACAGAGACTTATCTGTTTACATATTAAGGAGACTCCTAGGCTAAACAGGACATTCATTAATAAATACACCTGAAGAATAGCCATGTATTTGTTCTTTTGAATGCATTGACAGCTAGAGGCACCTTATATTTTGAGCTTCTATATTTCCTAAAAATGTATAACATAAGGACTCATAAGTATGGTATAACCACAGTGAGCTGCAAGTGAAGTCCCTAAAATGTATGTCACTGCAAAAAGAAAAGAAAAAAAAAGCATATTCAGTTCCTCTGCAATACATGATGATTTCTCCATGTTTTCTCTTTCTGCATGTACAGAAAAATACCTGCTGATCTGCCAGAAATCCAGTCAGCGGTAAACTTCCTGTTTGAGTTGACAACACAGTGTCTTGGTTAAACTGCAATCCTTACTAGGGTTACCAGTTAGACTATAAAACTCCTATCTTCCACCCCACTCCACGTACACACTTGTTTGGGGGATAGCCTACATCAGTGAGAACTGAGCTCCCAGCACTTGCCGCTACAAGAGTTTTACAAGCCTGATGATGTCACAGGAAGTTTATTGCCACAGGAACAAGATAAAACAAAAAAACGTAGGGACATGCTTAAGAAGGAAAAAGGGAGGTTTGGGGTAAATTATGGATACTGTCTGGACCTACATATTAAAATATGTAGTTATCTTGCACTCTTAAGGTAAAGCTGGCACAACAAAAAACAGTCCAGCTAGTAAATTCTGAACCTTTTTCAGTTCCTTGCTAGGTAAAGGAGCCAGAATGAGGATGACAGCCCTGGAACCTGCATCAATCGAAGGCAGTGGCTCCTGTAGTTCATCATCACTGGTTCCCTTTAAAGAGAACCTATAAAACTTTTATGAACCTGTGGCGTGTACAGCCCATTATGTGCTGTGTACTCTATTCCCATGCTCTCTTCTTAAAAGCAATGTGTTAAATCAGGGCTGGCACTGTGCAAATGAGGCTGATATACTTCTAGTTCGGTGATGTCTCTGCCAATGGACGTGGGTGCATTCAGCTTCATAGACCTGTACCTAGAATTAGACTGGCTTTCTGGGACACTGTCCTCATTTTATTACAACCAGCCTAAGCTGAAAGGAAGAAGGTATCTTCTGGTGTGATGTCACTAAGATGTGTTGGCACTGGGGTTTAGTGGAAGTTAGAGTAAAACTCTAGCTGCTGCTGTTCAGCTGTGGGAAGAGTGGTTTCTTTATTCACTCAACAGTGGAATGGTGACAAACTAACATGATGTGAATTTTTGCATGCTTTAAAAGAATAAATCAGTAAAGTGAAAATATTCTTTCTAAAGCCTTACCTGTCCTCAAGCGTCTATAGCAGCAAGTTGCTTGTCAAAGTTCTTTGACCTTAGAAACATATAGGATTTATTGTGTGTGAGGTGTCAGACAAAATTGTCCTGTGCTATTTTGGCCCAATCTTATTCAGCATTCTTGTTGTTTGTTTCTTATTTAGAGGCTGAATGAAGCTAGACGTATGATGGATAAACTCAGAGCATACATTGTGGCTAATTATTATGCTTCTGCAGGGTTTAGTAAAGGACATGAGGTAAGCAAATTCTATTCAGGGATATTTAAAAGTTTAATCAACATTTTTAAAATTTTGTTATTACAGTAGATATTTTCTTGTATTCCCCAGGGCACCTCTGCATGTGATCCCACAATTCTAAATCATCCATCTATCAAAAAATTCTTGGAATCCCCTTCACGAGCTTCATCCCCTGCAAACCACCGTTCAGACACCCCTTCTGTCAGTAATTCGGAGACTGACTCTATATGTACTCACAGTGAGCTGCTAGATAAAGATTGTCATGGAGCTCCCAAAACTGGGCACAAAGAGACCTCTTCTGCAGAAGGAAAGCTGGGGAAGGTATGAATTTTGAGGTTTTAGTAGCATGCACCAAAAATAAATAAGTGCACATATGTAAGTATATCAGCATTTACATGTAAAACACATCTGGGGGAGACCATAAGTGTATTTTTCTAATCCATTGAAGGACACCTTATCTTTTGCTTTTAGGTTATACTGCCACTTACAGTACTGCTGTCATGGCTCACATTCTCCTCATGGCTGCTGCATTGTACGGTCTAACGGTGCAGCACTGGTCTGCAGCCTGGAATCCTGTTGCTTTGTACTCCTATTCTGTCATCGGAGTGTAGCTCCAGTGGGTGTGGCTTATTTTTTTGCCCTTTTGGCCAATGTTTTACTACAGTCCTTTAGAGCCACCAAGGCTGCAAAGACTTTCCTATTGCACCTGTTGTTCCAACTCTTTCTCTACCAAAATTGGAAATACCCTGCAAGCTGTTTGCTCCTCCCAAGTGCTTATTAGTTTTTACACATGTGGGAAAAATTTTCATCTGCAATCTCATGCCAGTACTGAAACAGTTTGGGATAGCACCATAGCATGCGTAGTAAATCCCCTAATCTCTGTCTCCAGCCCCGCATCCTCTCTCTTCTCATTGGCTCGCTGGCTGCAGTTGACAGCAGTGGAAGCCAATGGCTGCCGCTTCTGTCTCAGCAAATGAGAGGGAGTCCCGGGCTAGCAGAGACTCCAGTGCGCATCGCTGGATCGAGAGGCAGCTTAGGTGAGTATTTGTGGTGGGGGATGCTGCACAGAAAAGGTTTTTTTCCTTCATGCATAGAATGCATGAAGGTAAAAAACCTTGAGCCTTTACATCCACTTTAATAAACTCCCACAGCTTCCAATATCATCTTTATGCTGATGACACCCAAATCTATCTCTCTACACCTCCACTCGCTCCTCTCCTCTTGCATTACTAACTGACATGGATGTCATACCACTTCCTCAAACCCAATCATTCTATAACCGACCTCATAAAGTCCTCCTCCCTAACACTTCCATCAGGATCAATACTACAAATACTACTGCTATCATTCACTTCCCTCATGCCAGGATACTGGGTGCACTTCTAGACTAGACCTTTCACCCCAAATCCAATCGCAGTCAAAAGCTTGTGGACTTCACTTCTAGCATCTCTAAAATACAACCCTTTTTAATCAATGAAACCACCAAGCTACTCATTCACTCCCTGGTTATCTCTTGCCTTGACTATGGCAACTCCCTCCTCATAGGCTTACCTTTACAAAGGATATCCTCCTTCAGTCTATCATGAATGCTGTTGCCAGACTTATCTACCTTAGCAACTGCTCATTGTCCGCCACTCCACTGGCTTCCGATTGGCCAAAAAATTTATTTAAAAATAATAACAACCTACAAAGCCATTCACAACTCTGCCCCAAGCTACAGCACCATGGCTTCTCTCAGGACCTCCTGCTCTTTTAACTTCCTAGTCTCCTTCTCTCATACTCGCCTCCAGAACTTCTCCAGAGCATCTCCCATCCTCTGCCACTCTCTACCTCACTCTGTCCGACTATGTCCTACTTAGTCCACCTTTAGGCGATCCCTGAAAACTCACTTCTGGAAAACCTATCCTGCCTCCACCTAACAATTGAACTTTCAGTTGTTTCATCTGCTCATACTTCACAGTTATTACCTTTTGTACCACTTACACCGCCATATGAGATTGTAAGCTCTTATGAGCAGGGCTCTGCTAACCCTCTCGTGTTGTAACTATATTGTCTCCATTTATATTGTAAAGCACTGCTCAACCTGTTGGCACTATATAAATACTGTATAATGATACTATTAATAGCTGATATTCAGGCAAGTGAAAGCATAGTAACTAATTGTACCTAATTGCCTGTACTATTTCATTTATAGTTATGTTAGCCTACTGAAATCTGGATGTTGTGGGCAATTACCTGTTATAATTCTGCACAATATTTCACACAACACAAAGTACTGTCTGAATCTAAGATGACTATGTAATTTAATCTCATTACAGTTGTAGAAAAACTACAACCTTTTAGGTTGCAATAAAAATATTTTGTTGTGCTTTTTTTTTTCCTACTTATTGCCCCATCCGTATAAAAAAATTCAGAAATATTCTTCTGTGTAGATACTTTTTCTTACTAGCATGTCAAAGCTGCCTAGAAAACAAAAAAACTGCAAAGCTTACAGCATTCAACTTTGTCTGAATAGGCAAGAATATAACCCAGAGTGTGGCTGCACTACTGAAGTGGTGATGTGAGCACATTTAAGCACCCAGAATAATATATGAAAATCACAGTTTCACTCATACAGTTGACATGGAGGTAGTCTTTGTCTATACAATTCAATAGTGACCTTGACACCAATTAGCAATCTAATGCAGCCTGCCTGCTTGAAGAGGAGTGAGGGCTCTCAATTGCACGAAAAAGTTAAACACAGAGAAAAGCAGCACAAAAGGGCCAATAATGTAGTAACTCAATAATTCTCTTAATAACAAAAAATAATTAAAAATCACACAAAAACATCAGAGGGATAACCGCATATCAGTAGAACTCAAGAGAATTTGGTGTCCCAATATACTGTGTTATTAAAATCATAATTGAGTTGCTAAATTATTGTCCCTTCTGTGCTGCATGTCATAGCTGAACCTGTCTAAATCACAGAAAAAAAAACTCCACTGAAAACGTAAAAGTGTTTTAGTATGTTTTGTCCAAGCTGTGCTGTCAGTACGCATGATTCTCTGGAGGTGGTTGTAAGATTTACAAGAAAAGCAGATTATCATGTTAATTGGTTTTGTTTAGCGAGCTCCTTATTCTAAAGCTGTTGTAATTATGAAACCATTACATTTGAAATGTATTTTTAGGATTCCGTGCCAACAGAAAATGACAATCAAACTGCTGGGTTTGCAAGATCCATAGACACTTCCAGGCGTTTTGTGAAGAAAACTTTGGTTGTTGGAAACGTCTCAAAGTATGTTTACTGTCATCTGCAGATGGCTTTGTATTTGTTCTTTAAGATGTGAATGTATACTTTATATCCTTACTATTTAAAAAAACGATGTATTTATTGTTTTTTTGCTGTGATTGGTTTGGAGATTTTTTGGTAGACTAGCCTAACTATAGAAAGGTAGAGGTCTCCTCAAAAGCAAGCTGCAAAATCAACAAACGCGTTTGCAGTTGGAGATTCTCATCCCTCACTAGGATAACCCTGTTTTGACCAATCCTCACTCCAAGTTTTATATTGGGTACAGGATTGGATCATTTCATACCAAATACCCTGTTTCCATGTGATTGTCCAATATCTATTCTCCACATTACAAGCTTGTGGCATTAGGGGCTTCATTTTAGATTACTGTGAGACTTTGTCACCTGGCACCTGTGCTTAACCTTGGCATGTTATAGAGCAGTCATGGCATCTCAGGGCAGTAAATGTTCTGGTAGTGTTTAATGCACTAGACATTGCTATATAACATGCCCAGTAATTTTTTTAACATACAGACGTGTTGGGGTGTAATGTTGCTGCTTTGTGTACTAGCATTGGTTTAAATGTAAGAGAATAAAATGCACGCTAGCACTGAACACTACATCCTCCATGTAGTATACACACATTAGCTCAGCAGGTACAAGCTAATTTTTTTCCTAATTCAGTCTGATTTTTATAAACAGAATATTGACCATGACTTATTTCTATGTCAGCTAAAACACTGTCTTGGTAATGCTTATAATGTGTTATTTTGTGAAAAAGGTTTTCCAAAAAGTAGAAATGCTTAAATATTTACCTATGTAAATTGTATTTACTTGTTTTTTTTTCTGATTTAAGGTACATTCCTCCTGACAAACGGGAAGAAAATGATCAGTCTACACATAAGTGGATGGTCTATGTACGTGGATCTAGAAAGGAGCCAAGCATTGATCACTTTGTGAAAAAGGTTTGGTTCTTCCTGCACCCAAGCTACAAGCCTAATGATCTTGTAGAAGTCAGGTGAGCTCCAACATGATTTTTTGCTGTATGCATGCAAGGAAAGTTTGCCTTGGAACAAAATGTACATATGCCTGATAATTTGTTTTGAAAATATTCTGTAGGAACTACAGGCAGTCATATTTTCATTGGTCAACTTATATAGTCTCTAAATAAGGGAACATTTTTGTCTTGCTGGATATTTATAAAATCTTAACAGCAGCTACTCGCCATTTAAAGAAGTCTATGTGTTTTTACTACTAATAAACATAATAAAACCTTGGCAAAATGGACATCATTACTTGAGATTGCTATAATCACTTTTCTTTGTTCATATTTTTATATTTTATTTTTGAGTGACTGATAGAGTTTGCTTTGTTTCTAGAGAGCCTCCTTTCCATTTAACACGCAGAGGATGGGGTGAATTTCCTGTGAGAGTGCAGATCCACTTTAAAGACAGTCAGAACAAGCGGATAGATATCATACATAACTTGAAGGTACAGATATGGCACAATTATTTTGGCTATTGAAATACACCTCCAGTACATATCCTTATCATAATCTTGTTTAAATTCGCTGAAAAAAGGGGGCGTGAAGTACTATGACCCTGGAGCCCAGATTCTCGATTGTGCCCATTTGTTTTGATGCAGACAAAAGACAGATTGTGAGTGAACAAAGGCTAAAAGGCTAACCACTCTGACTTTTACAAAATGGCTGATGGATTCCCTGTTGGCAAGTTACAACATGTTCATATTGAAGTATTGTACACTTTAAGGGGAATGCGCTGGGTCTTGAGAGAGGCTACTATGTGAAATAGAGTGGATAGTGCACAATACCTTTGCCAGCTAACAAAAGTGCAATAAGATTACCTTTTAAAAAGACTGAATAGGAAGTTGAGGATCAGGGTCTCTCAGTAAATGTAGTTACAACAAAAATAATTTTCTTAAAAGGATTTTCGACATAAAGAGCAGGCCCAAGATCAAGAACGGTTTGTGTAACAGCAAACAGGGTGGAGCTGTGATTACAGATGGGAGATCGAATCCGTTTTGGCTTGCATTTTTAGAGAGGTTCTTTTTAAACCGTATCAAGTATAAAATAAATTTATTATGATGTGCGCTAAATATTTCTTAAAGTTGTTAATACAAATTTTTTTCTGTTGTACATTTGTAGCTGGACAGAACTTACACTGGGTTGCAGACCCTAGGAGCAGAAACGGTAAGCTTTTTTGTTTGCCCTTTTTATACGGAAAGTGGTTGTAAACCCTTTAATATACCCAGTGAAGTGACTGGCCTGAGGTGATGCACAGAGATAAAACTAATCCTCCTATATAAGTTGTACCTGTCTATCTTCAGTCTTCTCTGCATCCGTTCAAAGTGTTACATTTTTAAAGGTTGTCTGGGAGTTCAGGAAAAAAACGGGGTATAGAGCTGAAGTTACACTCTGCAGATCCTAGTGAGGGGAGCTCTGAGAGCTGATTGGGGGGAAGGGACATATTCCCCTCCACACAGCTCACAGGTACAGAGCTGAGGCTTTCAATCTGTTGGAGGTCCCTCCCCTGTCACCATTTTTCTGCTGGCGTCAGGAAAACCTGTTAGAAGTGACTCATGCTGATAGCAGAGGAACAAAGCAGACAGAAATGACACCTAGTGCTCTTAACTGAGACAAGTACACACTCTAGAGCAGGGGTGTCAAACTCGTTCATGGGGGGCAACATTAGCATTATGGTTGCCCTCAAAGGGCAGATTGTATTTGTAAGACTAGATGGCCAGAGCACCCCATCCTCCCTTACATCACAGTGCACACCCCCCCTTACCTTGTGCTGCTGCCAGGAAGAAGCTGGAGGCAGAGCTGTGAAGCAGAGCTGTGAAGCAGAAAGTGCAGGGTCTGGAGGAGGACCAAAGGAGGGCTGGAGTCAACAGCTGAAGTCTTCAGGGGAGTTGGAAACAAGGGGCTGCTACACCTGCAAGTCCAGGTAGAGTGGTATAGAACGTATGACATATTTTTTTCGGTGCATGTACCCATAGGGGGAGGGGTCTCCTCCCTCTCTTCCCCTTCCCTGTGTCCCTGGCCTTCTCTCTACGAGTGTCCGCATCCTCTTCCCTCCCCCTTCTATATCCTTCCCTCAATACTGGGCCCCCGGTTTTGGTGGGCTCCTCCCCACCCTTTTTTCTTTTGGGCGGGGTGTGGAAGCTGTCTGTGCATCACATTTTCTTAGGACTGTTTACTCCACGTGTGATATCTCCCAATTGATATCCACTTTTTGGTGGTTTATCCATAGGTATTCTTTAGGGTACATAGTGATTTGACGTTTAAACATTTAAGGTGGAAGTGGAATATTGTTTCCCTGAAGTCTTATGGGGAATCCAATATGATCCCTTGGGGACTTAGGGAAAGAATTACACCAGCAGAACATCTACATAATGAGCTGTTCTTTAAAAAATGGCAATTACACATGGTATACATATAATGCAAATGATAATTGAAGAAGAGAAAATACAATTAAAGGAAATAGAAGAACAGTTTACGAAAGTATAAAAGATTTTGAGGGATATAAAGACTTAGATGAATTCATTAAACTAAACAAAAAGTTGAAAAAAGAAATAGCTTGGGTTCTAAAAAGAACACAAAATGAGGAAGCATAAAAAAATCCAACGCGACTTGATGGACTTTGAATATGAACAAATATTGGATGTACAGGGAAGAAGGGGTAGGAGTAGATCCAGGAGTAGACATAGATTATGGAATAAGGATGGAACAGCTCCAGATCAGGAAGCAGCCAAAACAGTATCTTTTTTAGGGACCCCAGGAGAAAAAGGAAAAGAGGAAAAAGGAGGCGGAGGAGATACACAAAACATTCGGGGTCATATGGAACAACTAACACATACAGCCAACAGAACAGAGAAGAATATGGTGACTCAGAGTACCAAAAAGCAAAAGCAAAGACATGCCAAATAGAAATAGCAAAAAGAGGTACGTCCCTGAATATAATCAACCTCACTGAAAAAGAGCATACATCACTTCTACAAAAGGGTTTAGGCTTTTCACCTAGCTGTCCTGGGGACCAGTTCGAAATCTATAAATATTTATGTCTCTTTTTTAGCAGCGTCCGCTTTAAGCTTATGTATATGCATAAGGAGGTACAGGACAGTGGAGAAACCACTGACATTGAATTTAAGGATATCGATGAGCTTGAGTATATACAGGGCAATACCTGGTTGGATTCAAATATATTGGATCCACCACCACCATCCGGCTTGTCAAATAAGTCCAAGACTTTTGCGAGTATAACCAACAATAGATACCTCCAGACAGTTTTGGAGGCAGCAACTAGAGATATTAGGGAGATGAACTGGGACTATTTCTTGAGGTCATGATTAAGCCTAGTGACAAGCGTGGGAATGTGATTGGGAAGGAAGACAAATATGTTGTTGAAGTCTACAGACAATTAAATAATGAATCGTGTTATGAGAGATGTGTCAACAGTCCATTTCCCGTCCTTGTCATCAAAATCAATTACAAGCTGTAGAGAGCCTTTGAAGTAGGACTAATAGGGAAGAAAGAGCGGGATTATCTGCATATAGAGGAATATAATATTCCCACCTTCTATGTGACCCCTAAGGTCCATAAAAATCTAACTCGACCACCTGGGAGACCTATTGTCTTAGTGGTAGGTGGGGACCTACAGAACGTTTGGGGCAATATGTAAACAGAAGAATTAGGCATTTAGTAGAAGCATTACCATCATTTGTCCTAGATACGAGGCATCTCTTGAGTATATTGGCAGATTTGAAGGTACCAGCAGACTGCTTACTGGTGGGGGTGGATGTGGAATCGTTATACACGTCCATTCCCCCATTGGACAGGAATTCAGGCAATCTCAGATTGGCTTGAACTTAAGCATCCATTGTTGGGGCCCACATAATGAATTTCTGGTAGAATTATTAGACATTATTCTTCATAATAATTTTTTTTGTTTGACGGAAAATTTTACCGCCAAACTCAGGGAGTCGCGATAGGTGCAGTATGTGCATCCTTATATGCATGTCTGCACCTAGGTTGCTGGGAGAAAAATGTAATATATGCAAACCCCTTAGATATTACGACCATGTGGTTATGTGGGTTCGCTATATGGATGATGTTCTGGTAGCTTGGAGAGGGTCAACGGAAGAATTCCATTTGTTTATAGAAGAATTAAATTGTAATGATAAAAATATCTATTTAACATACAAAATGGATCAATGTGAAATGGAATTCCTAGATTTGAAAATAAAAAAGGTGGGAGATAAAATTGAAACTACTACCTTTTCGTAAACCCACAGTGGGTAACACCCTTCTCCACACTACCTGTCACCACCCCCTGCTCATTCATTAGAGGGACTCCCCTATGGACAATTCCTCAGGAGTCAGAGAAACTGTTCTAATATATATGACTATCATGTTGAGAGCCAGGAACTAAAGGAGAGGTTCATAGCGAGAGGATATCCCAGGTCGGTACTAGAAGGTAGAGTGCAAGCACTAAAACAAGATAGGACACAGCTACTACAAAATAACAAACCTAAAAAGAAACAACAACAGGATAAAGTTGGGTTGGTTACTGGATATGGAACACATTGGAATCAATTAAAATCTGTATTAAATAAACACTGGCACATTCTTACATTAGATAACAGATTATTGGACAAAATAGGGAAAAGGCCCTGGATTCTAGCAAAAAAGGCCCCCACTATAGGTGACACATTGGTCCGTAGTGAATATAGAAGGAGTAGAAAAATGAACCTATGTATATACAACCACCCACAAAAGGCATGTTTCCATGTGGACACTGTTCCATATGTAGACATGTCGATAAGATTGGGGAATTCCATGACTCTACAGGTATGAGAACATATTCCAATAACTCCTTCCTTAATTTTTTCATCGTCATGGGTAATATATAGAATAGTATGCCCATGTAATCAGATCTATATTACCAAAACTAATAGAGAACTCAGACGTAAAATAGGTGAACATCTAGCTAGTATTACAAGCAAGGATGATGAGTCTCCAATAACTATTCACTTCGAACAATACCATAACTCATCCTTGAAAGGTATAAAATGTGCAGCCATCTTCCAGTTGTCGTGGTTAGAAAGGAGAGGTGATAAGGATAAGATCCTGTTGCAAAAGGAGGCAAGATGGATCTTTTTATTAAATACAATGAGTCCCTAAGGACTTAATAACGACTTGTCCTTACAGCCTTTCCTTTAAAGAGAGATTATTTGCCTATTAATATTTATGAAATGTTGGTGACTGTGGAATCAGAGATATGAATAAGAAATATTCCTGCGTTCCTATTTGTCCTTGGTGGCTGCATTAAGAGGTGGAACATTAGTGTGATGATGTAGATACAGGGGTGGACTGACCATTTGGAAACTCGGGCACTGCCCGAGGGCCTGGGGTCAGTAGGGGGCCCCATGAGATGCCCCTGGTACCTTTTTTCATAGGCTTTTTTTGAGTTTGGAGGACACAGGGGCCCCATGATCCCCTATTGCCCGGGGGCCCAGTGAGTTGTCAGTCCGCCCCTGTGTAGATCTGTTACAGCCATCCAATCCATAGCTACCCCTGAAGAAGCCCCGGTCAGTGGGAGGGATGAAACATGTAGGCGGAAGGGATCACTTCCGCCTTCCACATGCGATCCCCTGCTGAGAAGCTGGAGTGCATGCCTGCTCTCCTGACCTGCTGTGAGACTTTTTCAAGTTGTGCTGCCTGAATTTAAGGATACCGTTTATATCCGATTGGATTATATACCCAGCTACCAGCATATAGAACGGATGTTCTCGGGCCTACATGGTGAGACTGTTCCATTTCCCTACTGTATGAATGCTGGACTTATTCTACAGCTTATGGATATACAGAGTCAATCAGCTACCTGGATGTAGGCTGGACCTGTCAATTGCCGCTTATACGTCCTTTTTGGAAAGCTCCAGTGTTGGTGATGAGGACACTAGGAGGATTTGAGCATTGATACTCTATATGGAACTGTGGTATTCTTTGTGAGGCATATCTGTTGCCCTATTGTCTATTGCTTTGCTCCGCTGAGGACATACACCTTGTGGCCCCTACACCACTAGCCGGATATACCTTGGTTCTTATTGGATTTCAGCATACATCACAGCAGGGTCTTTCAGGGAGAGTCTACACCTGCACAGGAAGGGGGACTTGGAGACTAGTGGGGGGCTGGCCCTAATCACCCTTGTTTTTTAATTAATATGAGGGGGAGAGTTTGGGGTGTATTGGGAGGGAGGGGTAGGGTAGTTTGGGTGGGACTCCTGTGGGGTCGGTACAGGGTGGGGGGGTTGGCTGGGTGGGACTGAGGGGAAATGGGGATGGGATGTATGGGATATATATGCACTGAATAAATGACATGTTTTTATTGTTAAGTCTGCAATAAATATTTACCACTTATAAGCTTTTGAGGTGCTTTATCCTTTTGTGGGGGGGAGGGGTTTGCATTTACTATTGGTTGGATGCACCTCCCCCTCATTATTATTATTATTACAATTGGGGTTTTGACATAAGCGGATACCACTCCCAGGACAGGCTGTTGGGCCATAGGGGGTTTTTGTTTAGGGTGCTGCGGCTGCACAGAGACCTCCAGGATCTGTAGGAGGAGTTCTGTCCTCTCTGCTGTCAGTTGCTGAGACCAAGGGTGGGGGGTTGCATGAGCTTCTCTGTGGCTGCATGAAGAAGAGCATGATCTGGCAGAAGGAGATCTGTCCTCCTCACTTTTGTTGACTGCTGAGACAAGGTGGAGACAAGGGAGTGCCACAGCTGCAGGAGAGGTCTGAGGGCCACATGAAATGGCCTGGAGGGCCGGATTTGGCTCTTTTGCCTTGTGTTTGACACCTGTGCTATAAAGGAATATGCTTTGTTCATATTTCATGTCTGAGGTTTACAACCACTTTTAAACCCTACTGAAGTACAGGCTGTGTAACAAGTAAAGAATATAGGTTTTGTTTATTTATGTTACTTGGCCGTGATGGAAGCTGTTAGGCGCTGCTCTGCACCTGAAGCCAGCTGAAGAGCTGAAATGCTGCTTTTGAATATAGTGTGTCAGTCTGGGTCCTCAGCGGTCCCATGCACCCAGTTCATAGTCTCCAATCAACAGCACTGCTCAGGGAGCAAAAGTATTCTTGATCAGACACTGTGTAGTTATTGTATCTGATTGCTGTAGATCTAGACCACAGAACTCTATGTGGCAACAGTGGTCCAACTCTCCATTTTTCTGCATGCTCAAGGAAGCTTCTTACAGTTTTAATCACAAACACAGAATTTCATTTTTCTAAAGGGTAATGGGTAGTATATTTTACGGTGATGGTGTGTGAGTTTTGAACATGTTTGTGGACCTGTTCAACTAACAGTAATTGGTTTGCCCATAATTTCTACCTCCTCTATGGCAGCTCAAACCGAGGGATAGCTTCTACTGCCCCTTTTATCTGGGAGGCAGACCAGTGATTATTAACTCTGAGGGGAAATAAAAGGGTAAAGGAGTGTGTGTTTGTGCTACTAGGTTCCAGGTGCTCAGGGATGAATACAATAGAATGTTTCTTTCTTAGAATAAAGACATTAATAAAGGAGGTTTTTGTGTCTAAGTTAAAAGTTAACACAAGTTAGTTGTAGCAGGTATGGTGAGATTAACACTTGTCAGCCCCCCCCCCCCCAATATGGCTGAATCTGGATTTCTAACGGTTTCTAATACCCCTTAATGTCTGCTATAATCTGCAGGTTGTTGAAGTTGAGCTTCTAAGACATTCCCTTGGCGAAGATTATCTGTATTCACAATCTTCCAATGAAACTACTCAGTCTGATGGGAGCACTCCAGGACCTGTTATAGTTAAAACATCTTCTCCTAACAAAGGGAGCCATGAATTGGCTGAAAAAGGTAACTGTTTTATTCATTTTCTTTTAATGTTTCCCGTAAAGCCTGAGAGAGAAATACAAAGCTTCCAATAGGAATGTGAGAAGGCACTCAGTCTCTTTATTCACCATTAAATTAAAATTCAGTAAATAACTAACATTGCCCCATGTCTACAGCATAATGAAACAACAAAGTTGAGAATGATCTAGTGACCTTTGTTACAAATAGTGTGTTTTTTTCGGTTCTACTCTGCTACTTGTTGTTTAGAGCTAAGAAAAGATTGGACACAGGTGCTCTGTGAACAATAGTATGTGGGTTCAAAGGTCCCTAACCAAAACTTGAAAAGTGCTTTCCAGACAGGATAGCCAAACTGTACAGTCCTTTAGCCACGTTGTCCTCATGGCTGCTGACAATGCTTTAAAATCCACCCCAGCCAAATCTTTTTTGTAATAGCCTCTGTTAACGTTCTGTTACAGTCTATATCTCTAATTGGGACTTAATTTCTTGCATTGGCATTACAGGGACATTAAGTGAGGGAAAATCTCCCCAATGAGGTCAGCGGCAGAAATAAAGAGCATGCCAGAAATTGTAACACTTCCCCATTCTATCCAAAATCTAATAAAAATAGTTAGCATTATACTGGACACTCCAACTCCATAGAAATTGTATGTATTTTAGATAAACCAGCATACACCAAAACATAATAATTTACTTATGCTTAGGGGTAAAAAAGGCCCCTGAATAACTGCCATATTAGACTTCACTTCACTCTACTGTTCTGTCTGCTATTACTGTCTGATTCTATGCATTTGTCCTATTTGGAGAGAGATGCAGCTAGAGCTGCAGGATGAAGACAATGATAGGGCATGGCTACAATTCTCTTCAGTTCTGCAGCCCTTGAGCTGCTATTATCATCTAAATGAAATCATTAAAGTGGACCTTGAATCAAAATGCAAGGTCTGATTTTTAAAAGATCCCCCCCCCCCCCTCCCCATCTTAAAATGCAGCATCACATATTTTGAAAAAACACCTCTGGGGAAAAAAAAAAAACTGAAGAAAAGTTAAATAATATATTTACCTTTCACCAGTTTCAACCCGCAGTGCACAGGTGAGGATTAAGTTACAGCCCTTCTAGTAGTTCTTCGGTGAGATACTCGATGTTCTTAGGATCACCAGAAGTACCTTAAAGTGGTTCTAAAGGCTTAAAGCTTTTCACCTTCATGCATTGTATGCATGAAGATAAAAAAAAAAAACCTTCATCGTACAGCACCTCCCCCAGCCCCCACCCCAATACTGACCTGAGCCTGAACTCAGTCCAGTGATGTGCACAGGAGACTCGACTTTCCCAAGTCTCTCCCCCCTCATTGGCTGAGACACAGCAGCCGGAGCCGTTGACCCGCTTCTGTCAATCTCAGCCTGTAAGCTGGGGGCAGGGCCGAGTCCGCCTGTGCTGTGAATTATGAACGCAGGGAACGGGGCTCGGGGACGAGCATGTACCAGCGCCCCCATAGCAGGTGGCTTGCTATGGTGGCATTCCTCACGAGGTAGGACCCGGAATCACCAGTGGGGGACCCGAGAAGAGAAGTTTCGGGACTGCTCTGTGCAAATCCGCTGCACAAAGCAGGTAATTATGACATGTTTGTTAAAAAAAAAAGAAACACAAAACACGGGTTTAGTATCACTTTAATGTCACTCTCTCCAGTGTAAGGTACGTATATTTTTTTATAAAAAATTTTTTGAAGCAGATGCTGTAGCTGTCACATCTGGGTGCCCATGTAGCTCTAACTTCTGGACCACCTGAGAAGTCGAGAAACCTGAGGTGGACTATTATACAAATATATTCTTTACCTAGGAACTTGGGATTGACCAACCCTTCCTGTTAATGTGTGATGATCAGCAACACTGAACAGTAGTGAGCAGCAAAGCAAAATCTGACATCCTAAGTGAGGGTGTTTGTGTAACAGAGTGCTCCAGTTTTGGGGACTCCTGGGGCACTGTCAAAAGTTCAGTTGTACCATAGCAGTACAAGGCAGTTGAGTGCTTGCAGCAACATTCCCCTGCATATATTTAAAGCAATAATGAGTAATATCCCATCAAGAATTTAATGGGTTTTTTTTGGGCCCGTTTGTTTCCCATTTGGGAGATTTTCCTTCATTTTTCTCCAAATAAGGGAAATCTTGTCTTACACAATTTGTCACTGGAACAGGTCCTCGTTGGATTTTCCCTCTCTGTCTGTTCCAGTGAGAAATCAAAGAGTAAGTGCTCTCCTCACCTAACAGATCAAACTTTTCCCCTCCACAGATGCAGATTTACCAAGATACAAAACTTTTGCTAATGATGAATGTCAGCACAAACTATTGTGTGTGCTGACATCCAGCACCACAAATCATCTCTCCCCAGCCACACCATACGCTGTAGAGCCCTGTAGACTGGGAGATGCAGGAGGATGAGCCCCTTAGACTTCTTTGGCACTGGATGTCAAAAAACACAGGAGTGCATGGATGTTGGATCTCCGTAACTCTGCATCTGTGGAGGGGGCGAGAGGGCTCTGTTGGCTCAGGGGAGGAGGGCAAAAAAATATATGTGTACTTTGTGTCTAAGTACACTTATTCTTTAAAATGTCAGATTTTCCTTCTCTTTGAAAGGGTGACTCTTCCTAGCAAGGACACAGTGCAGTAAAACCTGACAGAGGCTCTATCCCCTCACCTTTTTGTTTCCAAGATGGAGCGAAAATTGGCTTTAGATAAACTCTATCTTTGGGCTATGTACAGTATGCCTTATAATCTAAGAAGCCAAGGCGCATCAGAAATTTATTTCTAGAGTCTAATTTGGAGGAATCACATCAGCCATCTTTGCAAATAATTTCTGGGTGCTTCAAACCCTGGTGCCCAACTGGGAGCCCAAGGGCCACATGCAGCCCTTTGGTACTTGTTGTACAGCCCTTTTACAATCTAGATAGTTGGAGCATTAGTTTGCAATAATGTTGTGATAGCAGTGTTCAGTCCCCAGTCACCTGTCTTTGACTGTCTCCTGTAGAGAGGTCTTCAATATCCAAAAGCACTAACATTTCTGCAGTCTCTGACCATCGGCTTTTGCATGTTTCTGACAGTCTTCTGTAACATTACGAATACTGAATATTACGTGCATTCCTTTGGTGCTTTCAGGCCCCACAGTTGAGACCCACATACCTCATAAGTTGACAGCTGTTGCCTTATTGTAACCACTTCTTTTGTCTAACCTGCCCACTACAAGTGTTTTGTATATGCGGCAAAATGTAGTTATTTAACTATTGTGTACTTATTTTGTTTGCAAGTTTGAAATTTGAGGATTCATTTTGTATGAATGTGACATTGTATTATTAATGGCGCACATTTTTTTTTTCATTAAAACAAGGTTTTAGCATGACTTCAGAGCCCACATTGTACACTCAGACCTCAGCACTTGAGCGCACACCAACAAAAATGACTCAGAGGTTTACTATTGGAGCTCATGGCAGCACTGCTTTCCAGCCTATCACTGCCAGCTGCAAGATTGTCCCTCAAGGACAGGCAACAAGCTTGGCTGAGTCCCCTGGGAAATCTTTCCAGCCAATCACAATGAGCTGCAAAATTGTGTCTGGTATGGTCTCTTTCCAAATTTTGTTTGTTGCATCATCAGCTATAGTGAAAGATATACAGTATTAACAGCTAAGGTTCCCACACCAGTCACACTGTGCCTGCCTGTGTCTTAACTCTCCTGTGCAGCTTTAATTGAACTCCAGCAGCATGTGTGAATTGTTCCACCATTCATGCATTTGTTCTCTTTTTGGTTGTCAGTACTCATGGATGCTCAGCCTAGTGCAAAACACAGCTTGAACTCTGCAACATTGTACCCATGTCTATTGACTCATGTGGACAACATGCTCAATTCACAAAGCTGTCTTTATTTGGCATTTATGTTCTTGATAATTGTGCCCTTAGATTGGCCATTTTGGTCAATTCACAAAAGTTTTCCCTGCTCTGTAACTAGCAGTGTTATACGACTGCTAGTCTTGTTACAATCTTGTCAAGGTTATTTTAATAGTCATTGTAATAGAATTGATGCAGAAATGCACAGGATATCTCTCCCTAACACAACACTAACTTGAAGCTGGTGAGAAGTATGAGTTTCAGTAGTTGTCCATTGATGGGAGTGGGAAAAAGGAATGTTTGAACATTTAAGCTCAGTTCACTAAGATGGATGAGCTATTTTAACACAACTACAATTAAGGACCAGTAAAGTAAAAACCGCTGAAAGTATTTTGAGATCATTAAAATTATTAAATCACCACTACTCATAGAGCAAGGTAAATAAAGCATGTTTTATAATTTTTTAATTGAGATCCTCAAGATTCAAACTGAATAAGGTCCAATATTGCTAACAACCAAACAAGAGATGCTGCCCACCTGGCCTTATATTTACTCTCAGCCCTGATCCAATGATCATCAATGATGTGCTCCGCTTTGGAGCCTTTCCTCCTAAAGTGCATATGTGAACTACGGCCCTTTACATTGCTATGGGAAAGCCAGATGAGTGACTGCATGGGGGTGCCATGAGTATGGCTTTCCCATAAAAAAATGAATGGGCCTATGGTGCACTTGCTTGGTAAGTTGCGACTATATTTTAGGGGAAAGGGGGAGCCGCACCGCACAGCGAAGACCCCTGGATCAAATGGGTTTTAAAACAATCTAGTTAATTTGGCACATTCCTGTAGAAACTAACTATTGCATACTTTGTAATATATTTGCTTATTTTTAGAAGAAAATTGTCATGAGATAAACAAAGGAGTGGCATTGCAATACCTCCTCCATCTACATAGACTTATAACAGACTTTGTAGCATAAGCCTTTACATACTGCTCCCATCATTCTAAGCACAGGAGTGTTCTGTCACAGGGAGGTCAGAATGACCGGCTCATAATGAGTGGTTCCAATTTACAAACTATTCCTAAATGGCTCTTATCAATAGCTGATTTTTTCCTTTGGTGCATCATCTTGCTTAAACTTTTGTTTGCGCTTTAAATTTAAAGCTCTTTGTGCTCCCTGTTGTTAATGTTACTGTAGCAATCCTACCTTTTTTTCTCTCCTGCTTTTTGTGCTGTTGACAAGTTTCCTATTCACTGAACAACTTTGTTGCTATTTTGAAGCCTCTATAGCAAGTGTAAAAGCTATTGCTTTCTGTTTATTGCTTCTATGCTAGGTTTTCTTATAAATGTTACCATATATGTAATTTTATAGTAAAATCCTCTTGTAGATCAATGCTAAATTCTCTAACGAACAACTTGAGCTGTGTATGTAAGTGAGATATTCTGAATGAAAGACTGAAGCAGTTGAATGCACTTTGTGGGCGAGTTGTGGCCTGATGTGTCTGTCGGGTTTCAGGTAGTCAGTGTTTTAAATAAAAGGTGGCGCTGTACTTTTCTGTGTATTTGCTTGTAGAATGAAGACTTTTTTCTTTCATTAAGGAGAAACATTTCACCAAAACAGTTGAGTTTTAATAAAAATTTTTATTTCACATTTCAAGGTAGTCCAACAGGCAAGCATTCAAGTATATCACAGGCTGGAACCCGTTCTCCCTTGCCAAAGATTCATGGGAGCAATTTTGTTAATCAGAATATCAAGGTAAAAATGTATATGCATAGTATAATTTCTTTTCCTAAAAGAAAAAAGTAGTTGACTATATCATACATGTGTGAATAAGACCTTTTTAAAGATAATGCTTTATTTTCCTTTCTTTTTAGTCAGGTTAACCACTTGCCCTCCAGAGGACTTACCCCCCTTCCTGACCAGGCCATTTCTTGCATTACGACACTGCGTTACTTTAACTGACAATTGCGTGGTCATGCAATGCTTCACCCAAATTAAATTTTTATCCTTTTTTCCCCACGACTAGATCTTTCTTTCAGTCGTATTTGATCATCTGTGCATTTTTTATTTTTTGTGCTATAGAAAAAAAAAATTTAATTTTGCGAAAATTTAAATTTTGACTTTTTGCTATTAAACATGTCCAGTAAAAAAATCTAATTTCAACATAAATTTAGGCCAAAATGTATTCTGCTACATGTCTTTGCTAAAAAAAAAATCCCAATACAAGTAAAATAATTGGTTTAGGTGAAAGTTGTAGCGTTTACAAATAGCGGTATGTATACTAGGATTTGTTTTTTATTGTTACTAGTAATGGCGGTGATCAGCGACTTATAGCGGGCCTGCTGCGGGCATTCTGACACTGGGGGGGAACTGACTTGGTGTCACTGACATCCCCAGTGACACCAATACAGTGATCAGTGCTAATAAAAAGCACTGACACTGTACTAATGGCACTGGGCAGGAAGGGGTTAACGTGGGGCGATCAAAGGGTTAACTGTGTGTGGTGTGTATTTTACTATGGGGCTTTGTTGGTGCTTTCCACACTGTAAGCATGCTGCTTTGCAAGGCTCTGCTATGCAGAGCCTTTCAAAGCAGTGTGCAGGAGCTGACGGGAGAGAACTGTATTATTTACATGCAGTTCTCTTTCTCTGTCGGAAATGCTCCTAGATCACCGGGTGCCGGCGAGTAATCACCGGTCGGGACCCGGTGATTGACAGCCAAGGCCGTGAATAGCGGCGCGGGTAGGGCACGCACACGCCCTCTACCGGGAAATGCAAAATCATGTATGTATATATACGTGATTTTGCGCACACCTGCTGCCCTGTAGCAGTGTATCTGCTATAGGGCAGCGGAAAGCGGTTAATATTCATCCTACACAGGGATGATAGATATAGAGATGCACTATATTGCCAAACGTATTGGGACACCTCTCCAAATCATTGGATTCAGGTGATCCAATCACCTCCATGGCCACAGGTGTATAAAATCAAGCACCTAGGCATGCAGACTATTTCTACAAACATTTTTGAAAGAATGGGTCACTCTCAGGAGCTCAGTGAATTCAAGCGTGGTACCATGATAGGTTGCCACTTTTGCAATAGGTCCATCCATGAAATTTCCTTGCTACTAAATATTCCACAGTCAACTGTTAGTGGTATTATAACAAAGTGGAAGCAACTGGGAACAACAGCAACTCAGCCACAAAGTGGTAGGCCACGTAAAATGATAGAGCAGGGTCAGTGCATGCAGAAGTGCACAGTGTGCAGAAGTCATCAACTGTCTGCAGAGTCTTTAGCTAAAGACCTCCAAACTTCATGTGGCCTTCAAATTAGCAAAACAGTGTGTAGAAACCTTTATGGAATGGGGTTCCATGGCTGAGCAGCTGCATCCAAGTCTTACATCACCAAGTGCAATGCAAAGCGTCAGATGCAGTGGTGTAAAGCACGCCGCCACTGGACTCTATAGCAGTGGAGACATGTTCTCTGGAGTGACAAATCGCGCTTCTCTGTCTGGCAATCTGATGGATGTGTCTGGGTTTGGCAGTTGCCAGAAGAATGGTACTTGCCTGACTGCATTGTGCCGAGTGTAAAGTTTGGTGAAGGGGGGATTATGGTGTGGGGTTGTTTTTCAGGGGTTGGCCACTTAGTTCCAGTGAAGGGAACTCTTAAGTCGTCAGCATGCCAAGACATTTTGGACAATTTCATGCTCCCAACGTTGTGGGAACAGTTTGGAGATGGTCCCTTCCTGTTCCATCATGACTGATAGAACACCTTTGGGATGAATTAGAGCAGAGACTGCGAGCCAGGCCTTCTCGTCTGATATCAGTGCCTGACCTCACAAATGCGCTTCTGGTAGAATTGTCAAACATTCCCATATAGACACTCCTAAACTTTGTAGATAGCCTTCCCAGAAGAGTTGAAGCTGTTATGGGCCAACTCAATTTTGAACCCTACGGACTAGGACTTGGATGCCATTAAAGTTCATGTGCGTGTAAAGGCAGGCATCCCTATACTCTTGGCAATATAGTGTATATGTATTATAAGTGAAGCTTTGGACTCATTTTTTTCACCACCTTTGCTAATTCTTTGACCAATGTGCCATAAATATTCAATGTACTATTCAGGACACACATAGTTGAATAATCAGAGAAGGGAGACTCCCCCTGCTCATGCAGCTCATCATAAGTTTGTTAGATACAGTAACTTAGAAAGTAAGTAGCAAATGCTTAGTTTACTGTGCAAATACTGTGTAATAGAAGTGCCCTGTATTAAATGATCTTTGGTAACATTTTTAATACAAGGAATGAAAAATAAAATGTTTATTATAAAATAGAAACTTGACTGAACACCAAAGCTTCCCTTTCCCAAAACACATCCACGGTGCTTTTGGTAAAAAGGAACATATATATGTGGGCTGCCATTTGTTTTTGGGTTGCCCTAAATGGGTGTTTATTTTCTGCATCATGTTGTGAAGCATCTTTGAAGGATCTGCAACTCCTTGTTTGGATTTTGAAATGGATTTTGAAGGGCAGCAGGGTTCACGGTGTTTAATATACTTGGCAATTCAATTTCTATATTCAAGCAATGGACATCCAACTTAATAAAAGTTTCATAAAAGCATCTCAGCTGCTCATTGGCAAACCAATTTTTGCTGAAATCATATTATATGGAAGTCTGATGCCTGTTTCCTATTTTCACCTTATTAGTTTGTTAAATAAACGCCTCGCCAATTGTACCACAAAAATCCACAGGTGACCTGGCATTAGGTTTGGGGTATTCTCCTACTTTTACTGCTGATTGTAAGCATTACCTTAATTGTCTGAATAGTCAAATTGACTGTATAGACTTGTGCTAATTTAGAGTATTTAAGCTTTTGGACAAATAAGTATACATGCTTTCATCTGTATGTGTGAGTCCCCAAGGTGTTAGATATTCTTCTTTGTTGCCTTGTTAACTTGGTCTCCTAAACATGTATGGTGAAGTTCCATATATTTCCTATAGCACTGTGTGGGGCTTGTAGCAAGAGCATGGTTGACATTGGCAAGAGTAGTTCGTGTTATTCCATGACAACTGTTTTTTTTCCCTGTACGTATTTAGTCTAATGTCTGGTACACACTATAGGGTTCTTTTATCGTTCAACCCAGCATGCTGAACAAAAATCGCTGACAGATCGCTGTAATAACACAAGCAATGTTAGTACAGCAGTCTCCCCCGCTGAGCTATTGTGTTCTGACAGGGGGACCACCCCCCATCTGAGCACACAGGTCAGCGCTCGCAGCCATTGGCTGCGAGCGCTGATCAGATGCGATCAGATGCTGGTTTTCCCATAAGCACGGTCGACAGACGCTGGTCATGAGATCGGCTTCTGTCAGACAAGCTGCTGTACACACGGGCCAACAGTTGACTGGTTTCTACTCTAACAGCTGATTTCAGCCAATATTTTAATATGTGTGTACCCGGTATAAGACGCCAATTGATCCATGTAGGTATGGTAAGGTCTTGTAATCTTGTCCTGTTGTAAATGCCTTATTACCAATTTTTGCCTTAGATTTTTCCACAGGAAAAATTGCTTCCAGTAGTTTTTTGCCTATTTATGAAGTTGGGCAGTTTCCACACACTGGGCAGTCCCAGGGATATCTATTTGGTAATATTTTTTTTTCTACTTTATCAAAACATTCTGCCATTCTTATGCAGGTTATTTATGCCATTGAAATCCATTGTTTTTAATGGAGGTAAACTGAAGAAAATGTTTCTTAAAGTGATAACTTTTTCACTTCACTACAGCATAGCCATTCTATTTAATTTTAGTTAATGTCGGGGTATATAAATAGTCTTATGTCTTGTATTATGTATATATATTTTTTTTGTAGCAGGAGGAAACTCTGTTTGCTGCAATGCCTCCACTTTGTCCTATTGGAAGCCACTCAAAATCTCAGAGCCCCAAACCCGTGGCTGGAGGGCTTGGTGCTTTCACAAAGGTATGTTTGTGAAGGTTCCCATTTATCCAGTTCATGGTATACCTAGTTGTTGTAGTTATTCACACCCAGCTGGACTTGAACTGTGACAATTCACAAACCTCTGACTGACTTTTTAGTGTCTCCATTGAGAAGTTATGCCTTCTGTATTTGTCCTTGTGGTCATTTGCATTGGGACTGAAAGTGAAGGAAAGGCTAAACTTTTCAGCCAACAACAAAACTGGAAGGGATGGGAAATCTCCCAACAGGGATACATTGGTGACAGCTGTCAAATCATGTGCTGCTTGGTGACTGTAAAAGGATGTATGTGTGTGTTAGTAGAGGAGCCATGTCTGTTACACAAGAAGGAATTGTATACTGTATCATGGGAGCTCTAGTTACCTGGTTTAACCTCTCACACCAGTACACCCACTATGTACCAGGGCAATTTTTACTTTTCCACTAGCCTGTTTATTAGGCAATATCTTTGTCATTACTTATAAAGAGAGGAGCTTCAGTCATATTGTGAAAATTCAAAGTCAGCAGCTACGAAATCTGTAGCTGCTGACTTTATTAAACAGAAGCTCACCTGCCCAAGGTTCCAGTGCTGTGCTCACCTGAACCATTTTCTTCACCAGTCTTCTGTCTGCGGCACTGGAATCTTAACTTTAGGCAGCCAGCCGTGACTGCTTGCCGGCTGCCCACTGCATTCCCGAGCTGTGGTGCGCAATCTGAAGGGTCCTGCAGTCTTCTGGGACCTGTAATGTGTCCCAGAAGACTACAGGCTGGTGGGGGAACCTATGCTCAGATGTCAAAACCAAGTACCTGCTTTCTCTCCCCCCCCCCCCCCCTACAAAAAAAAGTGGAGGAGTAGGAAGAAGCGCTTTAGTGGATCTTCCTTTTTGGGTGAAGTTCCGCTTTAAGATAAGAGTAATACCTGTCTTGTTTTTTGGACAAACAAGGCTTTCTTTTGGTGATATTGTTCTGCAAAAATGATTTTATTTTTCATGCAATCCATAGACAAAAAAATAACAAAACTAAAACCACGCACTTTTTTTTTTTCTGCTTGCAGTGTTCGTTTTAAAAAAAAATGCTGTTACTTTACATAAAATGTATATGTCATTTTTTAGTTTTGTCCTATATAATTGATGTTAAAATGAGGTTTCTTGTACAAAGCATTCACTAGTTAGGTATAAGTGCTTTTTTTTATGCAACAATAAAAAAATTAAACAAAATAAATAACAATGAACATGTGTAAATATTAATGGTTAGAAAACTAGAAATAAAAAAAAAAAAAAAGTCAGGACAGTAAATACAGGTATTAAACAGATAGTTAGGGCTGACTAGGGTAAAGTACTGGTTAAATAGTTTAGATATTTTTTAATTGTCAGGTTGCTTTAAAACAGAACTAAATCTAAGAACCACAAAATGAAAATGCTATTTAGTTAATTTTTAATATTCAGAACAAACTCACCCATCCATCCATGTCTCTGTTTTGTTTTTTTTTTTTTGGTGAGAAATCACTTTGAAAAACACCCCCCAGCATTTCTAGCTGCAACCAGTAAGGGCAGATGGTTTATGTAGCATTGAATTTCTGGAATCCATCTGCCCTTAGTTCGAGCAGGCAGGAGGGCATGCTTAGTTTATAAAGTCCTCCTCCAGATGGAAAAAAAAAGTCCTTGAAGATCCTGGGATATTTGACATCACTCTGGCCTATGCCAGAAACCAGGAAGCAACGGAAGAAATGTTATTTAAAAAAAAAAGTTTAAAACAAACAATTGTAATATATCTTCTTTATTTACTAATGATATCTGTGTAAGGATTAAAAAGAGTTCATGTTGATTGGGAGAGTTTAGTTCCACTTTAACTGGCAACATATGCAGATCAAGTTCTTCCAGTTGATCTGCAGATGAATCAAACCGTATTGTTCCTTTGTATATCTTTTTCTTTTAAACAGTGTTTTTACACATCAACTCCCTGCTATTGTCCTGATGGCTGGAAATTGCCAGCAAGTACAGTGGGTGGAGCTGCAGCATGACATGACAGGGCATACTGTACACGCCCTGTGTGCTCAATTATGTTTTTTTTTACATCTGTATCATGCCTTGTGTCCACAACCGTTAATTAATCTGGTTATATTGATCACATGGCTGTACTGAAAGGAAAACCCTTTTTGGGTTGCCCCTGAGTTGTTTTAAATTCATGAATGCTAGTTGTTTCACAGTGGTGGGTATAGCCTTCAACAGCAGAATATAATGTTTCATATTAAGGCTCCATGCACACTCGCTTAAAAGAAAAAAAAAACAAAACCGCTGCTTCTAGGAGAGTTTAGCGTTTTGCCTATGGAAGCAACTAATGTTATCCTATGTGTCTATGCACATTAGTTAGTCTAGAGGTGTTTTTTAAGCTCACAGTTTAGAGGCAGAAAAAAAAAACCCATGTGTTTTGCATTTTTTTAAAAGTGTTTTTCTGGCAGAAAAAAACGCTAAATGCTCCTAAATGCTAGTATGAAAAAAAATGCTCAAAAGCACTAGAGATTATTTAAGCCAGTGTGCATGGAGCCTAACAAAGACATTTTGGACATTGTAAGAGAGATAACCAACAAGCCTTTTCATATTTAAGCATTTTAATGTCAATTATCTTTTCAATAATCTTCAATATATTTTCATATACCATTCTAACCATTAAAGTGGTTGTAAAGGTTGAAGGTTTTTTACCTTCATGCATTCTTTGCATGAAGGTAAAAAACCTTCTGTGTACAGAACTCCAAGCCCTCCCTAATACCTATCTGAACCCCCCAATATATACCTGGGCCTCATTGCTATTCAGAAATGTGCACAAGAGCCTCTGCTCTCCAGTGACTCTCCCTCATTGGCTGAGAACGCAGCGGGAGCCATTGGATCCCTCAGCTGTTAATTACAGCCAATGATCCAATGAGAGGGGGATGGGGCCGAGCTGCAGCTGTGGACAACAGCTTGGGAGTGAGCCTGCTCGGGTGCCCCATAGTCAGCTGCTTGCTCTGGGGGAACTATACAGGAATAAGGGGCCAGGAGTGCCAGCGGGGGACCCAAGAAGAGGAGGATCAGGGCTGCTCTGTGCAAAACCATTGCACAGAGCAGGTAAGTTTAACCTGTTTGTTTTTTTATGTGTGTGTTTGTTTTTTTTTCTTAAATGTTGCCTTTAATAACATTTTAATGTACTATAATCTGATGGCACTGAAAAAAAGATTTAGATGGATTTCTTTTTTTTTTTTATTATCAGGTGATCATAAAACAAGAGCCTGTTGAAACTTCTCAGCAACAGCAAGAAGCTCCTTCAACATCGCAACCATCAGTCCAACAAATTGTAACTGTGAAGGGCAACCAAATGATTGCTGTGTCACCTCAAAAGAATCTTGGCAATCCTGAGGGGGCTAAGGTAACTAAAGCAGTTGTGGTGCCGAACTGTAGCTGTCAGCTGTAGGGAAATTAGGTCCTAGGTGTAAATTCTCTATAAATAAGTGCCGCGCAACATAAAATATGCAATTTATCTCATATGTGCTATCTTCATGATAAATTGCCTGTGCAATTACCCGTATAATTTCTTATACAGTGCATATAACATCAAAGTGCATACATAAACAATTTGTGACATAAAGATTCCTTATGGCAGCGGCTCTCAACCTGTGGGTCGCAACCCCTTTGGGGGTCGCACAACCCTTTCACAGGGGTCTCCTAAGACCATCGGAAAACACATATTTCCGATGGTCTTAGGAACCGAGACACCGCTCCTCTATCCGTCTCCAGGCGGGTCCGCCCACGTGCAGATACGTCCACATACGAGTACCGGCATGATGACATCATCGAGCCAACCCCATCACATACACTCCGTACAAATACAGGTGTATGTGACAGGGTTGGTGCCATAATGTACTTCTGTGGATCAGTCACACATGTAAAGAGCAGCTGCTGTGCTGAAAGCAGCTGCTGTGCTGAAAGCAGCTACTGTGTAGAAAGCAGCTGCTGTGTTAAAAGCAGCTATTGTGTTGAAAGCAGCAGTATTGGAGGTAAGATATTTACATTCCGATTTATAATAGTAGCAAAATTACAGTTATGAAGTAGCAATGAAAATAATTTTATGGTTGGGGGCCACCTCAACATGAGAAACTGTATTAAGGGGTCACGGCATTAGGAAGGTTGAGAACCACTGACTTATGGCAAAGAAAGTCCTTGTATGACAAATTTATATCAATTCTTCTATATAAAGTTGCTCAATTCTTGTAGATATTTGTGCACCTTACTACTATGTGCAAACATCCTTCTGTGTTTCTCCTCCATCGACACACGTGTACTCTCACCTCCTTGATTTGACCTAAATATATGTAGGTCAAACAGCACTTTTCCATTTTAACCCGAGTAGGTATAATTCCTTTAATAGCTCCACTCTCCTTCACACTTTCCTCCAGAATGGTCTTCCTATTTATTATCCAACATATCCTCTGAACATGTGGAAAAAAACACCCATCATAGTGCATCACTTATAACAACTAATATTTATTAAAAGATTGAGTGCACTCACATAAAAAGTGTCCAAACTGGGACACTGCAGTTGAAAAGCTTCCGCAAGAAATACTTCATCAGGAGTCACGTGTTGTGATGTAATGTGTAGGGTGGTCCAAAGATGTCAAGCCGCACCACTGGAAGTTTGCGAGCCGCCATTTTGTGAGTCACCGTTAGAACACTGAATGTATTTCTTGCAGAAGCTTTTCAACTGCAGTGTCCCTGTTTGGACACTTTTTATGTGAGTGCACTCAATCTTTTATTAAATATTAGTTGTTATAAGTGATACACTATGATGGGCATTTTTTTCCACATGTCCGGAGGATATGTTGGATAATAAATAGGAAGACCATTCTGGAGGAAAGTGTGGAGATATTAAAGGAGTTATACCTACCCGGGTTAAAAAAGGAAAAGCGCTGTTTGACCTACATATATTTAGGTCAAATCAAGGAGCTGAGCGTACATATGTGTGTCGGTGGAAGAGAAACACAGAAGGGTGTTTGCACATAGTAGGAAGGTGCACAAATATCTACAAGAATTGAGCAACTTTATTTGGAATAATTGATATAAATTTGTCATATAAGGACTTTTTTTGCCATAAGGGATGTTTATGTCACAAATTGTTTATGTATGCACGTTGATGTTATATGCACTTTATAAGAAGTTATACGGGTAATTGCACAGGCACTTTATCATGAAGATTGCACATATGGGATAAATTGCATATTTTATGTTGCACGGCACTTATTTATAGAGTATTTACTGTTTACATATGTGGGAACACATATAGTGTCAGCAGCAAGAGCATATTGGAGTTGGGAGTTTGGTGATTGCGCTGAAGTCATTGTGAAAACTATTTTAGGTTCTAGGTGTGCAGCTATTAAACTAGTTTTAGATGAACTTCAAATGATTTTGCAGCAACGAGACTCATAGTGAGATGCAGCCTCTTTAGTGCACTATGGGAAAAGTTTATAGTCTATTAAAGTTGAACTCCAGGAATTGGGCAAAATGTACCCTTGCATTTGGGGTTGTGGTCACACTCTAGCCTCCTTCACATGCAATGAAGGGTTATTAGCCCTGCATAGTATGTGATGACCTCAGGGGACCACTCACAGCTGACAGTGCCAGAACCAACTGGGATAAAGTTAGTAATACTGCCTGTTCATCTCCCCTCTAGACTTAGTGAGCATTTAACCCTTGCAGTGTGGGAAGGGGGGCTCACTGCAAGAGTACATTTTGCCTATGTACCATAGCTTTATCTTTAAGCGTGGAGTGTGCTGCAATGCATAAAAATGCTAACGGAAAAATTGCTTAGTACCATGTTTTAAGGTATAGTATGTTGCTTGTATGTAAACTATGGCCTTTTTTTAGCTTTAGTTACTTAAATGTCCTTAATGACGCAATAGATATTTTCTTGCTGATTTAATATTTTTTTACTTTAGGTTGTTGGAATTCCTGTTGGATCAGCTGTATCAGCATCAATTAAACCTTCTGTGACTATAAGTGGTGGGCAGATCCTTGTTGCCAAATCCAGCTCTTCAGCTGCCAAGGCAGTGGCAGCCAAACAAATGTTAGCTCAAGGTGTGGCCAAAGCGGTTGTTAGCAGTGGAAACTCCAATGTTTTAACACAGTCCTCGCAAAACGTAACAAAAGCACAAGTTACATCTGCTGTATCAGCAAAAACCGGAACCCAGGGGTCAGGTATTGTCAAAATATTCTGCTCATCAATGCTGATTCATGTAAATTATTTTCTACTTAATTAACCACTTGCCCTCCAGAGGCTTTACCCCCCTTCCTGACCAGGCCATTTTTTGCATTGCGGCGCTGCGTCACTTTAACTGACTATTGCACGGTCATGAAGCGCTGCACCCAAATGAAATTTATGTCCAATTTTGCCCACAAATTGAGCTTTCTTCAGGTGATATTTGATTGCCTGTGCATTTTTTATGCTATAAAAAAAAAAAAAAGACCGACAGTTTTGAGGAAAATAAACAATATTTTTGACTTTTTGCTATTAAACATGTCCAGTAAAAAAAATTTTAAAATCTAATTTTGTCATAAGTTTAGGCCAAAATGTATTCTGCTACATGTCTTTGCTAAAAAAAAAAAATCCCAATACGTGTAAATTAATTGGTTTACAGTTGCAAGAAAAAGTATGTGAACCCCTTGGGATTACGTGGAGTTTTGCATGAATTGGGCATAAAATGTGCTCTGAACGTTATCTAAGTCACAACAATAGAAGAACACAGTCTGCTGAACATAATACTACACAAACATTAGATGTTGCCATGGTTTAATTGCACATAACATGTAAACATTCACAGTGCAGGGAGGAAAAAGTATGTGAGGCCCTAGCTTAATGACTTCTCCCAGAGCTAATTGGAACCAGGAGTGAGCCAACCTTGACTCCAATCAGTGGGATGATATTGGATGTGTTGCTGACAGCTCTCCTGCCCTTAAAAAACACACACCTGTTTTGGGTTTACTGGTTTCAAGAAGCACTGTCTGATGTGAACCATGCCTCGCAGAAAAGAGCTCTCAGAAGACCTACGATCAAGAATTGTTGACTTGCATGAAGCTGGAAAGGGTTACAAAAGTATCTCCAAAAGCCTTGATGTTCATGTGTCCATGGTAAGAAAGACTGTCTACAAATGGAGAAAGTTTAGCACTGTTGCTACTCTCCCTAGGTGGGGTCGTCCTGTAAAAATGACTGCAAGAGCACAGCGCAGAATGCTGCATGAGGTAAAGAAGAATCCCAGAGTGTCAGCTAAAGACCTACAGAAATCTCTGGCACATGCTAACATTTTTTTTGACACATCTACAATAAGGAAAACATTAAACAAGAATGGAGTACATGGGAGGACACCATGGAGGAAGCCATTGCTGTCCAAAAAGAATATTGCAGCACGTTTGAAGTTTGCAAAAGAGCACCTGGATGTTCCACAGCACTACTGGCAAAATATACTGTGGACAGATGAAACCAAGATTGAGTTGTTTGGGAAGAACACACAACACTATATGTGGAGAAAAAAAGGCACAGCACACTAACATCAAAACCTCATCCCCACTGTAAAACATGGTGGAGGGAGCATCATGGTTTGGGGCTGCTTTGCTGCCTCAGGGCCTGGACGGATTGTTGTCATTGATGGGAAAATTAATTCCAGAGTTTATCAAGACATTTTGCAGGAAAACGTATGAACATCTGTCTGCCAACTGAAGCTCCGCGGAGGATGGGTGATGCAACAGGACAATGACCCAAAGCATACAAGTAATTCAACAAAACAATGGCTGCAACAGCACAGAATACGCCTTCTGGAGTGGACCAGTCAGAGTCCTGACCTCAACCCGATTGAAATGCTGTGGCATGACCTTAAGAGAGCGATTCACACCAGACATCCCAAGAATATTGCTACACTGTAACAGTTTTGTGAAGCGGAGTGGTCCAAAATTACTCCAGATCGTTGTGCAGGTCTGATCTGCAACTACAGGAAACGTTTGGGTGAGGTTATTGCTGCCAAAGGAGAGTCAACCAGTTATTAAGGCCAAAGGTTCACATACTTTTTCCTCCCTGCACTGTGAATGTTTACATGTTATGTGCAATTAAACCATGGCAACATCTAATGTTTGTGTAGTATTATGTTCAGCAGACTGTGTTATTCTATTGTTGTGACTTAGATGATGTTCAGAGCACATTTTATGCCCAATTCATGCAAAACTCCATGTAATCCCAAGGGGTTCACATACTTTTTCTTGCAACTGTACGTAAAAGTTTTATAGCGTTTACGAATGGTGGTATAGATACTGGAATTTTTTCTTTTTTGTACTAGTAATGGCGGCAATCAGCAACTTATAACGGGACTGCGGCGGACATTCTGACACTGGGGGGAACTGACTTGGTGTCACTGACATCCCAAGTGACACCAATACAGTGGTCAGTGCTAAAAAGAAAAGCACTGATACTATACTAATGGCACTGGGCAGGAAGGGGGTTAACATGAAGGGCGATCAAAGGGTTAACTGTGTGCAGTGAGTGTTTTACTAGGGGGCCTTGTCAGTGTGCTTCACTGTATGCACACTGCTTTGGATGGCTGTGCTGTGCACAGCCATCCAAAGCAGTGTGCCCGAGCTCACAGGGAGGAGGACTGTTACTAAACAAAAGTGTTTTTACATTGAGCATTTCAAGCAAATGCACTCCAATTGTGTATCCGACTATCTAAAAACTAAGGCCAGGGAAGGATCTGGAAATTAAGTTTAATTAAAACCTTTGAAAGAAATAATAATTATCCTTGGGGTGACTGCTTTTTGCATTTTACATTTTTTACAGTTCCTAATTTTTCTTCTTTATTTGGAAGTAATATAACTTATTGTATTTAATTTTCAAAGTAATGGCAACTCTACAGTTGCCATCCACAAATATAGGTAACTTGGCAAACCTACCTCCTGGCACCAAATTATACCTCACCACCAACAGCAAGAGCACTTCTGGTAAAGGAAAGCTGTTACTTATACCTCAAGGAGCAATCCTGAGAGCTGCTAGTACTGCAAGTAAGTGTACATACAGGGCCTCTGAATATCGAATTTTGCACATAATGTAAATGGCAAATGTTGGAGTATTAGCAAAGGAACATGTTTGTATTATTGATCAGAGAATACGCTTGTGATTCTGTTTACACCCAAACCAGGTATTTGTAATATTTTAGCTATTTGTATTTTATCTATTGACATTTCATGTTCGCTTGCACATAGAATTTACCAGGTTCTGAAACATTTATGAAATATTTGGTGAAATCTCACTTTACAGAGGGTCACCAATAATATTGCTTTGGCACATTTTACAATGTAGGATATATGACCAAGCATGCTAAGGTGCAAAAAACATTGGAGGCTCATTTTTTTATTTTTGTATTATTTTTTTTTGCTGTGACATTAGGTTAAAGACAATATAGTGACTTTTTAACCTGTAAAATGACTTGTCATTTAAACGATTTATAAAACTTAAAAAGAGGTGAACCATATCTGTTACAAAGCATCACATATGTCCTGTGTGTCTATTTGTTTTTGATCTCTTACATAAGGAGGCATTCATCTCTGATTGATGCATGCTATAAGTTTGTCATTTGGTATTGCGTTTAATTTCTTTTTTGTTCAAATGTTTTTTGTCTGCTCTTTGTATTGATATTGTTGTATATTGTAGTGTAAAGTAATCAAAGTAATCTTTAACATATGTGTTCAAGATCTGCAGTCAGGAGCATCCAGCAGTGGTGGCTCTAGCACAGCAGGAACCTCTACAGGGCTACCCCAGCATCTCACCTACACATCCTATATTCTGAAACAGACACCTCAGGTCTGTATATTGCCCCACATTCACTACAACTTTGTTTATTTTGTTGCTGGCAGTGCTTAGTTTTGTTCATCTTTGTTTAACAGGGCACCTTTTTAGTTGGACAGCCATCCCCACAGACCTCTGGAAAGCAAACCAGCTCGAATGTTGTGGTTCAAGGCAGTGGTGGGTCATCTGCACAGGGTCAGCAAACAATAAAAATAACTGCTGGACAGAAGAGCACACTGATTGCACAGGTAATAGTTTATTTCTATTTCGATGTGACTAATGTGTACGTAATTATTTTCCAGTCATCTGGCGCTAGAAAGCACCCTCTGGTGTTAAGCGTCATTGAAATTTAGATTAGTGTACATTCATGTACTGATAATTGTTAACTGCTACACAACTGATCAGTAATAATAATTTTCGAAAATTAATTGTGAAAAATTCCCATTCACAAAAACTGATTGTAGTGTGGACCTGGCTTGTGTATTCATGAGCCAGAGTTGAGTTTTTCTCTGCTGAACAGTGTAAGATTAAGAACGGAATAATGAGCAACTCATCTCATTTTTATCTGACATGCATAACACAGGAAGATTCCTTTTGTATTTTAATTCATTGTTGCTGTACAATAATGTTTGTTTACTCTGATGGATATGGTGTTAGCATAGAGCAATGGTCTCCAAACTGTGGCCTGAGGGCCAGATGCGGCCCTTTGCTTGCTTTTATCCGGCCCTTGTGGTATTATTCCCCTCCCCTGACAACTTCAGTGGGCCATAGTTCCTGCCACTAACACCTGCAATGGGGCACTATTCCTCCTACTGACACCAATGATGTGGACTATTCCTCCCACTGACACCAATAATGGGGCACTATTCCTCCCTCTGACACCAGTGATGGGGCACTATTCCTCCCACAGATACCAATGATGGGGCACTGTTCCTCCCACAGACACCAATGATGGGGCACTGTTCCTCCCACTGACACCAATGATGGGGCACTATTCCTCCCACTGATACCAATGATGGGGCACTATTCCTCCCAATGATGGGGCACTGTTCCTCCCAGTGATACCAATGATGGGGCACTGTTCCTCCCACTGATACCAATGATGGGGCACTATTCCTCCCACAGACACCAATGATGGGGCATTGTTCCTCCCACTGACACCAATGATGGGGCATTGTTCCTCCCACTGACACCAATGATGGGGCATTGTTCCTCCCACTGACACCAATGATGGGGCATTGTTCCTCCCACTGACACCAATGATGGGGCATTGTTCCCCCACCCGTTGGGGCATGTTCCTCCCACACCAATGATGGGGCACTATTCCTCCCACTGATACCAATGATGGGGCACTATTCCTCCCACTGATACCAATGATGAGGCACTATTTTTCCCACTGACACCAATGATAGGGCACTATTTCTCCCAATGACACCAATGATGGGCACTAATCCTCCCACTGATACCAATGATGGGGCAATATTCTTCCCACTGCTACCAATGATGGGGCACTATTCCTCTCAGTGACACCAATGATGGGGAACTATTCCTCCCACTGACACCAATGATGGGGCACTATTCCTCCCACTGACACCAATGATGGGGCAATAATCCTCCCACTGACACCAATGATGGGGCACTAATCCTCCCACTGACACCAATGATGGGGCACTAATCCTCCCACTGATACCAATGATGGAGCACTAATCCTCCCACTGACACCAATGATGAGACACTATTCCTCCCACTGATACCAATGATGGGCACTATTCCTCCCACTGACACCAATGATGGGGCACTATTCCTCCCACTGACACCAATGATGGGCACTATTCCTCCCACTGACACCAATGATGGGGCACTATTCCTCCCACTGACACCAATGATGGGGCACTATTCCTCCCACTGACACCAATGATGGGGCACTATTCCTCCCACTGATACCAATGATGGGCACTATTCCTCCCACTGACACCAGTGATGGGGCACTAATCCTCCCACTGACACCAGTGATGGGGCACTAATCCTCCCACTGACACCAGTGATGGGGCACTAATCCTCCCACTGACACCAATGATGGGGCACTAATCCTCCCACTGATACCAATGATGGGGCACTAATCCTCCCACTGATACCAATGATGGGGCACTAATCCTCCCACTGATACCAATGATGGAGCACTAATCCTCCCACTGATACCAATGATGGAGCACTAATCCTCCCACTGACACCAATGATGGGGCACTATTCCTCCCACTGACACCAACGATGGGGCACTATTCCTTTCACTGACATCAACGATGGGACACTATTCTTCCAACTGACACCAACAATGGAGCACTATTCCTCTCACTGACACCAGTGATGGACACTATTCCTCTCACTGACACCAATGATGGGGGCACTATTCCTCCCACTAATACTATTCATGGGGCATTGTTTACTCCAAGGCCAGGACATTTTATACTCTCACTGGCCACAGTCCGGCCCCTCTAATGTTTGAAGGACAGTAAACTAGCCTTTTCTTTAGAAAGTTTGGAGACCGTGGCATAGAGGGACAGTAACATGTACAGCCTTCTGCTGTCTTGCTGAAAACTCTGGTAGTGCTAGTGTTTTGTATTTACGGGTTTTTTGTTTTGTGTTTTTTTTTTTTACATATTTAAGGCAAACAGTGGTTCAGCTGGATTAGTAAAGATATCAGAAAATGTTCTAAAGTCATTGCCAGCGGCATCACAAACACAAAAACCTGGTACCACATTGTTGAGGGTCGCTGGTGGGGTAATAACTACGGCCAGTACATCGTTGCCATCCTCGTCTGCAAGTGGATCAAGTCAACAGGTACCATAGGAGTCCAAGGATAAGTGACATGCATTCCTGTAATGTAGCTTACCATTATTTTACTAAAAGAAGCTAAATAGAGTTTTTAAACTCTATGTAATATTGTAAATACTGATTCTCACTTTTGCCCCTCCTTGTTTTGCACAGGCTGCAGAAGGCTCCAGTACATCTACACAGAATGTGTCATCAAGCAAAATACATGTCCAACAACACACAAGCACTGCTGGTAGCAGCCACATAAAATCTCTGTCCAGTGGGAAATCTTGCACACTGCCCATACCAGTGTTATCATCAAGAGCCGTGCTTAGTTTGGCTTCCAACAGTTCATCTCTAACAGGTCATTGTCACGCATCCCTGCCACGATAAGTTAGGTTTTATTTGAGGCTAGATTCCTCATTGTTAGTCTAAAAAGTTGACTTGTGAGTGAATTTACTACTGCCTTTATGATACCTATGTATTACAGATATAAAGGCTGGGTTTTCTTATATTGCTGCTGTCAAAACTATGTGCCATGTAAAAATTACAATAGGAACAACTGAGGTGTGAATGTGGTAAACACTTTTATGTGCTGTTATTTCATGTTAAATTGCATATCTTTTGCAGTGAAAGCAGAACCTGACCACAACAGTGCTTCATCCTTCCATACTGGCAGTTCAGCAGTGAAGATGGAGGATACCTTAGATCAGGAATCCAGCTCTGTGAAGTAATTTTATCATTTCTGTTCCATGTTGCTTCCTGAAGTTTTCTGCTTCTGCAGTCTAGTTTGTGTATACTAAATATGAATTTCAGACAGTTAAAAATACAGATATAATACTTGAATAATTTCATTTGTTGAATGATTTGTGCGGCTAGGATTGTGCTCCTGGTATCCCTGTCAGTCAGCACAGCCAGGCCCTGAGACTCCATTAGAACATGCATTGCATTTAAAACAACTGTATTAAAAAAAGAAAATACTGCAAGTTAAACATTCAGGTACCTAGAGGTGTTTACACATGACTGCAGCAGGCTTCAATCCATAACTGTTACTATCAAATCCTGGACCAGTCTGAGAGGCAAAACTTCTGCACCTCCTTTTAGTGTTGAAGCTTGCCTGCTCCGGCCTGCACAGTGAGTGAGGCAGCCCCTGATAGTGATAAGCCAGTAAAAATGTGTTGGTGGGGTGATGGCTTTATAGTCTCTTTTGGCTTGCTGGCCATAGCGAACAATCTGAAAAGAACCCCTCTCCCCCCCTTTACCCATTAGGGGTGATAGGCCAAAATTTATGGGACTAAGCCTACAAGAAAGATCTTCAGAGAGACAAAGGGAGGCCCATCTCTCACCTAAGGATACCAGCTAAAAACTGAGACTTGGCTGAGCTGGGAGGGTTGATTCCTACTTTATTTTTTCTGGCTAGTGTCTATTCACCTGAAGGTGACTGCATAGCCTGATAATTCATGAATATATGAAGTACCCTGTATCCTGTGGTGTTACCTGGATAGCATGCTGACTTGTCTTCAGTGGTTTCTTAGCCACATATCCAGAACAAATGTGTACATCAAATGCATGGACTTAACTGCCTGGATAATTGTCCAGTTCCAGAGAATGCCAGGCAACTAGCATTGTCATATTTCCTTTATATCTGCCTGGAGTTAAGCATTAAAGTAAAGAGAAAATGTAAATGATTATTCATAAAAAATGTGTTTGTATACACTTACTGACATAAGTACCCGAAATTGTGTTGAGATCGGCCTCTTGTAATCCCCCGCAAAGCAGGTCTCAGACTGCTTACAGGAGAGCAGAGCAGAGTAACATGACTACAGGGTACTACTGCTCCTTCAGAGGCTATTCACAGACTAAGGTGGGCTCTAGACTAGGCTTTTTTGCATAAAGTGACCCTGTCACTAAAAATAAATAACGGCTACAAGTGTAAAGTGGAGACACATACCGGCTGCAGCTTTTGAGACACTGCCAGTACACTCTAATCAAAGGCAATCTCAGGCAGAGTGTCAATATAGGATCAGAACGGTGTGTGCGTGTGGTACCCTGAAAAGACTGCTTTTTCAAGGGGTCATCGCACCTGTGCTGAAGAGAGGAGGTCTCAGGGTTTCCATTTCAAAACTGTTAATGGTTCATGGTTCCCAGGCCAAGAAGAGATACCTGGCATATTGTAGGCCTCAAGGGTCTCCTCAAGTTCCTGAATGTACATAACATCAGGGTGAAGTCCACCTGATCTGTGATCGCTTTGCTTCATGAAGGGGGACTAACATCAGTGGATATCAAGAATGCTTACGTATGCATCCCAATTTTTCCAATATTACCAGTGGTTGCTAATTTGCTGTGAAGGATGACACTATCTGGTTTGGAGGTTGTTGAAGATCCTGGGTATCCCTATTGTGTGGGGTACCTGGACGACCTGCTTCTCAGGAGGCATTAGTCTTTGAAATTGACATTAACGCTTCAGCAGACGATCCCATTCCTGGAGAGGTTTGGCTGGGTGCTGAACCTTCAGAAGTTGGCCTTGGTTCTGACACATCTGGAGTGCTTAGGCTTAGTAATCTGGCATGGGTGAAAGGACTGCTTTCACAGGAGAAATGCCTGCTTGGCCAACAATGTGATATACAGACATTGTAAATCTCTTGACACATGAGCTGGGTCCAGTCTTCCATCCTGCTTTATGGTCTCTGATTTTGAAAGAAAAGGGGAGTTTCTGTCTCTGCAATCCCTACCCTCCTCAAGGCTAGGAAATCAATCTAGCACATAGATTTTTCCACTTATGAAACCCCTAACGTTCCTTGTTTACGAACAGATGGACTATACAGTCTATAATGCTTGAATCACTCCAGAAATCGTTTTCACTCCCCCCAAAATTTTTGCTGATATCTATTCAGTAGAAAGTTTGCAAAGAAGTGGACTATTCCTGTAGTTGATTTTTGTCATTTTCTGTCCTAAACAAACATCTCACTGTACCTATTGAAAATGTTCTTCTTTCAAAGGTTCTACAGAGAGAAAATTTGAGATGCTTCTAAAGGCTGTCTTTGTTCTTGCAGGCCCAGCAACCAGCTGTCACTGACATTTCGGTATGTCAAACTGCAGCTAACTGGACTAGGGCAATGAGCTATCAATAGAACCCTGTATTTCAGCATTGTGCTTTGTGCTGTTACAGAGCAATTACAGCAGCTGCCTTCTGTTTTGCTTTTATGTGTGGATGCTCTCTAGGAACATGAGGCAAATTTCCTGAATGGCAATAATGTCCTCACATGCACAGTCTTTATAACTAAAAGCTTGTAAAGCTGAAGATTCCTGCAAAACGCACATGATACATATGACTTTCCAAGGAAGACGTCTTTTCGGTGAGGCAGTTAACCAGTTTTTCAAAAATATCATAAGTGGGAAGGTTTACTTCCACAGCAGAAGATCACTAAATTATCCACCTCAGGAGCCCTTAGCTCCTATAAATACAGAGCACCTGTCCGCTCTAACCAGGCTTCAACTGCAAAACTTAAGTTCAGCCTTTCCTTTTGGCACAATTTGGCTCACAAAGACCACCAAGCCTTCCCCAAAGTCCTCTTCACAATTAAGGGGCAGCCTTGCTACCAATATTGGGGGGATGTCTGTTAAAGGTTGCGTCTCTCTAGATCAGTGATATCCCAGATCTGTAGTTTTAATTGGTGGTTTCAAAGGGGTACAAAATAGAGTTCAAATCTCTACCCCCTCACCACTTTCTACTTTCAGATTAACAAAAAGTGCCAAAGGACAGTCAGATTTGCAGAATGACCTGAGCCATCTCCCATTGCATCATTGTGCCACTACTGTCACATGACGGGTTTAAAGGATTCTACTCAAACCTGTTTATGGTACCAAAGCCCAACTGGGGTTATTTGTCCTATTGTGGACTTAAAATCACTCAACAGATTCTATCAAATTCCCAAACTTCACGTGGAATTACTTCTCTGAGACAATGGAGTATGTGACATCCGTAGACATCTCCATGATCCCATTTACACACCTCAGCAGCACATTCTTCTCTTCACAGTGGTGGACAATCACTCCCAGTATGTCACACTGCCGTTCGGCCTATCCTCTGCTGCCAGAATGTTCATTACGATCTTAGCACCTTGGCTTGCTCTTCTTAGAACTCAACGCATCCATGTCACAGGCTTGTGACCTTTTTCCAAAGGACTCCTTTCCAGCTATCGGAAAATGTCCATAGGATAGTTCAGATGCTTCAAGCCTTGAGCTGAGTGATCAATTTCAATGAACCTGCTCTCCAGCCTTCCCTTCGGCTGGAATACTTGGGTCTGGTCCTGTACATATTCCAAGCAACCGTGTCTCCCAGAAAAGAAAGTTCTTTCTCGAAGAGCATATGCTTAAGAATTGATATCCAGGGAGAACATGTCACAATGAGATTCTTCATGAGAGTTTGAGGCCTAATGGTAGTCTCCTTTGCGCCAGTACCATTCTCTCAATTCCTTTCAAAAATTCTCCAACATATTGTTTGCCTGGAATAAACAAGCTCCTTCTCTTGATTTACTCATACTCTCCTGCAAAGTAGTCTTTTTAGTACTTATCACATCTGTCAAATCTGTTTCTGAACTGGCAGCTTTTTCCTAAAAAGAGCCTTTTCTCGTATTTCACAATGACAAGGTTTACATACGCCCAAGGCCATCCTTTCTCTCAAAGGTGGTCTCCGTATTCTACCTCAGTGAGGACATTGTCCTAACAACCCTATGCCCTGCTCTTGAGCATCCAAAGGAAATCTCTACATTGCCTAAATATAGTCAGATCCATTGTAGCATACCTCAAAGCTACTGTTGAATGGCAGAAGAACTGATTCCTGTTTGTACTGTCCTCAGTACCTCGCAAGGGACACTCTGCCTCAAAGGCCTACATCACACAATAAGGTATCTGATCGCAAGAGCTTACATTCTGAAATAAAATCTCCGGCACTTTTAGGCACCCATTACTCAAGATCAGTAGGTACTTGGGTATTTCAGGACCAGGCTTCTGTAGTCACTTGTGCAAAGCTACCACTAGATCTTCTGTTCATGCTTTTTCAATGTTTTACCAAGTGGATGTCCAATCTTCTGCATAAAATGAGTGAATATTACTTGTGAGCCACTAAAAATAGATAAATAAATGACTTCTTACTCTTATTGTGGTTCGCTGGCATCAATACACATCCTCATAATCATGTGTTGATCAACCAAAAAATAATAAAAATAAAATGCTGCGCTCAAATTATATTACCATAACAATCAATATGCAATGCTACATAACCATAATTAAATCATTAATTATGTGTATAATACCCTGTGTGCCTTGTAAAAAAATATTTTAAAGTGAATTGAATAAATACGTTACATAATAAAAGTGCCAATCCAAATTAAAAAACATAAATAGTGAAAGTCCAAAATAAAGATGATCCAAATGATGTCTATAATCCTTGTGTGAGTTCCTTCAAATTATAGTAGTGCTAAGCACTCACCTCCATGAAAGCCTAATACATATAGGCAAACATAACTTTGCATCTTTAAATATTTAACGATGTTTGCAACCTCTATGCCTTGAGGTACTGCTGGGCAGTGGATATCCCCTGGAGTCTTCCAGATGATCCAATCCTCTTTTGCAGGTATGGCTGCAAGGATCTCTCCCTCCTTATGCTACAGGATTACTCCTCCATCCCTCCGTTTTCTCAGCATTTTTGTGACAGTGGGTGAGTGGGATCTCCCTTATTATCGGTAGTTAGTTCATCATTTCTCTGAATGCACTTAGGATTTTTAGCAAGCAGTCCATGCAGTAGGCTCTCACATATCTTCAACAAGTCCCAGACTGGTGGGTGAACCCTCTCTAGGAGATGCACACAGCAAAACCACCATCCATCATCTTTTGGCCAGAAAGTTCTCGCAACAGCACTCTAAAGTTGGGTCTTCTGGCTCTAGTTGTTTTGGCCTGTTGGCATAGTTATGTTTGCCTCATTGTTGCCCACCCTTCTTGTTTATTGATTGGGGACGTTATGGTGTATGAATACTCTTCTTTTTTTATTTTTTTTTTTTTTTTTAACGTTTTTTTTTGTTGCCATATGCAAACATATACATATCCAAATATGCATACATATCAAAATACATTAATAATCCATCCAACAATAGGAGCATTACATTCTTCCAAGATGTATGACATTTCTATCACATAGCCAACCACTGTATGGAAGTACCAATATACACATATCAAAGGTAAGGATGTGTTGATTAGAATCATAGTCGCATATAAGCTTTTATGACATCAGTAAAACAGGCAAACAACCAAAAGAAAAAAACAGAAAAACTAGCCGGGATAGCACTTTCCCACCCCAAAGAAAAGAAGAAATACACATGTCTGGCGCTTATCACATCTCTCAGCTCCAAATACTGTCCAAGTGCCTCCCTTCCCAAACAAACCCCGGTCCTTCAAGAGTAATCTGGTACCGTTTCTCTGGAAATCCACCATGTATGAATACTCTGCCTGTATCCTGTACTGTATGATTAAGATAAGAGGTATTTTGACTTGCCTGTAAATTTCATATGTAGGAGTACAGTACAGGCAACAGGCCACATCCCTTCCTTTCCTTGGATGCCTCTGCATTGCTTGCTACAAATCTGAGGACTTATGGAGTCAGGTAGGGTATGGTGCCCAGGGTATATGTCCTCTAAAGCTTTGCCTTTTCTGGTGCCAGTTTCTACCAGATGTTTCCTATCCTTGTTAACCATGTGTTTTTCTTCCCTAAATGTGAGTTTTTTTCACTCCTTGATTGGATCAAGATTGTTGAGTTTCTTGCTTGGTCCTTGGTTTACTCTTCTATGTTGAGGCATTTTTCTGGTGACCAATTTGTTGTTGGTCTGGAGCATCAGGTTCTCTGTCCTTCCTCTCGTTGTCTTGGCAGATTTAACACATCAGGCATGGGGTTTAACCTAAACCCAGTGTCAGATTTCAGCAGTTCTTCAAGGCTGCAGGCAGACACCAGTTCTGTTTTTGTTGGACTTGTTAGCAGTTTTTCAAATTGCTGTTAGCCCACCGCTCATTTGGACTGCTTTTGGATGTCCGGACAGTATGACTTCCTGTGGCATTTAATTGATGAGAGAGAAAATAGGATCTTTGTACTCATCGTCATGCTCTTGATACTGCTTGCTATAAACTGAGGTATTATGGTTGGGGGTGGAGGGGAGGGGTTGTTCCCATGTAAATTTTGTTAGCATGAAGAGGCATGTCATATCACCAGGGATGCTTAGACTTTTGGACATAATTGCTGGGGGTAGAAAGTTTTATATACAATATTTCAGTTCTGGGTGGCTGATATTATAATGATATTTATTTACTCCTTGGCATCCTGTGCCTACAGTTTGTGTATTCCTTTCCAACTCTGAATGTTCCAGCTCCTCCTGCTGCATTCTCTGTGCTATAATGCAAATTAAAGCACAGAGAAAATGTGACATCCCATTTTGTATACACCTACACATGGCAAAAGTACAGGAACACATGATCTGAGATTTTGATGCCACGGATGCAAGACTTTATTGAAGCAGATTTAAATTTTTCCATTCAACATTAGTTATTCTGTTATTCCTTACGCTGCTAGCATTCAAACAGATAGAAAACTATATTATACCTGTTTTCACTTACTGGAGATGTTCTGGCTAGAAATACTAGAGCAGCGTTTTCAAAGTGATTTCTCAACAAAATAAAGCATGGAGATGTGGATTAATTAATTTACTTCAAGTATTAAAAAATGATTAGCTGTTTCAGTTCATGGTGATCAGATACAGTTTAGCTCTGCTTTCAAGAAGTTAACAGCATTTGCCAAACCTTAGTGTCTGTTTTGAGCGAACAAGTTATGTTACATTTTTATTTGATGTTTTCAAATTAAGAATATGTGTCTGAAAAATACAGGAACCTGTATGTTTGTCTTGGTAGTATACCAGTGTAGACTTTCAAAATGTTATCCCTTTCTATGGTATGCATGTCTTCATTGACAGTGTTGGTTTGATGATGCTCAGTCCACACTTCTAAATAATTGCAGGACAGAACATCTGCAGAACTTCAAGCAGTTGTTAACTGCAACCGTGAAGAAGATCCCTCTAATAGGTGAAAGAGGTAAGAAATATAACTGTCAGAAAGCAGTGTACTAATATGATTATTCTAAATCCTGCTTTAAAGTGCCGGCGACCACCAGTAATTGTGGACAGGGGGTGGTTAAATTGTTTTGGGCTTTTTAGTGACATCTAGCTATTGCATACAGTTCGGAATTGAACTGTAGATGGAATTATCTTCCAGGGAACTTTCTTCCACTAATAGTGGAAGACTTGCACTTGGCTTCAGTGGGGGACTCCTAAAGGCTAAGTGTACCATAACCATTTCAGTACTGGAATTTTCTTCTTTTTTTTTTTTTTGATCTTTTCAAAAAAATTGTGACACAAAATGATCACTCCATTCACTCACTCACTCCAAAAAAGGGATCTTTTTGAGAGTGTTTGCAATGTCCTGGCGGCTTTATATGATATGTTTGTTTATAACAGAAAATAAGGGAAACTTTGTTTTTTTATTTGTTTATTTTTTCCAATATATAGTTAAAAACCCATTGGTTATTAAAAATCACCAAAAGTTAGCTGTCTGTCTCAACAAAATATCAAAATATTTGGGTCTTGTGCTGCATGCCTGTGAAATTGTCAGTCCATCTGAAAAAAGGCCTGGAAGGGAAGGGCGGTGAAGCATGCTGGTATTGAGGTGATTAAGGAATGAAAAACATGTTTGCTCTTTTCCACAGATGAGGATGGCAGTAATTTATTTTGTGCAAGCTCAGTGGAGCAGTATTACAGTTGGAATATTGGAAAAAGAAGAGCATCTGAGGTACTTTTTGGAAGAATTAAATTAGGACTTGGAGCATGAATACTATTCCTATTGTGTGTATATTATCCACAGTTCTCTGGAATTTGTATAAATATTTCAGAAATACACATTTAAGTCTTTATTGTAGCATTTAGCTAAATGCAATTTTTATGCTCTTTGGTTCTGATTATGATCTTCACCTTAGTTTATAGCTGACATCAATCATTGGGCAGAGTGTCGTGTGTACATGCTCTGCGCTCTTTACTGCAATACAGCATCTTCCCTACAGGAAGCATATTGCCTCTGCTGCCACTGCTTGCAAATAAGTCAATCGGCAAGCTAAAAATGCTGTTTAGCAAAAATTGCAGCTGTGCTAAATTCAGAAAGTGAACTCAATTTATCTTAAAGTGTTACTAAACACAGGACCCTGCATTCATATCTGGCCTCCCACAGTCAAGGCTGTGGATAAGGGGCCACCATCAGTCCTCCTGTACGGGGCCCAGGTCAGCAGCTGGGTGAATCAGGTGTGGGCAGGGAGAGTGATCGGCACGGAAAGGGGGGGGGGGGGGGGGTTAATTACTTGAACCGACTCCCTTTATGGCTAGAACTGATCCCCTTTTGGCTCCCTGAGCAGCAGCGGAAAGCTGATTTCTTCTCCTCTCTGTCCCACTGGTCTCTCAGCTGCTGAAAAGAGTCATACAGGGAATTTCAGTAGTTGGCCCCCCTGCTGCCTAAACCCCCTGTGTGCCCCCCCCCCCCTACAGTGCTGCCGGCTCCCCTCCTCTCTTTCCCACAGGCAGCTGCCAGCACACAATAGGATCTTCAGGATGGAGAGTGGGGGAAGGGTCCGATAAGTGTCACATTTACCAGCCCCTTCCTTTCCCGAATTAACATAGTGAGTGATTGGTACTGATCACTCACTGTGTTCATTCACTAGTGAAGCCTAGTAAACAGTGCTTTTTTGGGTGGGGTAGAGGGCTTGTCATGTTGGCTATATGGGGCCCCGTGTTTTCTAGCAGCAGCCCTGCCCACAGTACAATTATTTTAGTAAATATAAACTGCTAAGTACCTTTTCTCTGCAGTTAGAGCCTTGTCTTGTGACTTCTATCAGTGTCCAGCTGAGCACTGGTTAAAGCTTGTAGGAGGAGTTTTCTTCTCTAGGAGGATGCAGAACCCCTGACCTCTGTCTGGACAGTGCTGATTGGCCCTGTGCTGATCACATGCTCTCTCCCAAGAAAAATAAATCTCTAGCAATACACCACTAGAGAGCTTCTGGTGCCGCTTGAGGCTGATTGTAAATCACCCTGTCGGCAGAGAGAGAGAGGGAGGGAGCAGTGTCCCAACTTTCTCCAAAGACTTGCTAATGTTTGTAGGGGTGAACACTGCTCGAAACCTCAGCCGTTGTTCTGGCTACGCTCACTGATGCGTTTCACCCCACTCATAGGGGGCTTGGTCACAGAATCTAGCAATACACACCAAACTCAGCATGTGCAGAGTGTCACACACAACACCTCACAGGGTCAGTAGGAGAGCAGTAGTTACGTACTTCCCTTCACTGCGCTTCCTGCCTTACCAGTCACATTTTATATTTTCATGACAGGTTTAAATCTGGTTGGTGGCAGTAAAAGCTTAGAACAAGCATTTTTACATTAGAGTTTCTGTAAGCAAGAAGCAGCAAGGAATGTGTTTCAGCATCACATAGTGTACAGAAGTGCCTGGCTGAAAGCCTGAAAGTATACCTGTACTTTGCCCATATTTGGGCTAAAGACTATTTCCCTGCCCCTACATGAGAACATTTTAGGCCACTCAAACAACCCAGTGCTGCTTTTTCGAGGGAAAGCGAAAAGACTGACAAGTGAAAAGAGATGTGAAAGGAAGATGGTGTGGGAGATCTTTGCATTTATTTGCAGTAATCCCGCGCAGAATATCGATTGATAACTGTTTACCTTTTAAAACTGAATTTTTACTTTTTTTTTAATCAGTGGCAACGAGCTGTGGCCATGAAAAAAATGCTTCATGAAATAATTGAAAAGCAGCCAAAATTTAGCACTATTGCTCCACTGAAAACCAAGGAAATTGTACACTGGTGTCGCATTCATGGTTACACTCCTTCTGATCCAGAGAGCAGTGATGATCGGGAATCCATTGAAGATGTGCTGACTCGAATAGACAACGAAGCTTGTAAGTACAAGGCAGTTTATCCCTCCATTTCATGGCCAATGCTTACTATTAATTTATACAGTTGTGTTCAAAATAATAGCAGTGTGTTGAAAAAAGTGAATAAAGCTCAAAGTCCTTCTAATAGCTTTTATTTCCATACACACAAATGCATTGGGAACACTACACATTCTATTCCAAATCAAAACATGAAGAAAAATATATCAAATGTGTGTTGTTCCTCTAAAAAAATAGCAGTGTTTGTATTCTTCTTTACAAGCTCAAACATTCACTATATAAACTGAAAAATGTTTGAAGATTTTGCTTTCCTTTGAATCACTTAATTAATATTTAGTTGTATAAGCACTGTTTCTGAGAACTGTTGTACATCTGTGTTGCATGGAGCCAACCAACTTCTGGCACCCGTGAACAGGTATTCCAGCCCAGGATGATTGGACTACATTCCACAGTTCTTCTCTATTTCTTGGTTTTGCCTCAGAAACTGCATTTTTGATGTCACCCCACAAGTTTTCTATTGGATTAAGATCCGGGGATTGGGCTGGCCACTCCATAACGTCAATCTTGTTGGTCTGGAACCAAGATGTTGCACGTTTACTGGTGTGTTTGGGGTCATTGTCTTGTTGGAACACCCATTTCAAGGGCATTTCCTCTTCAGCATAAGGCAGCATGACCTCTTCAAGTATTCTGATGTATTCAAACTGATCCATGATCCCTGGTATGCAATAAATAGGCCCAACACCGTAGTATGAGAAACATCCCCAAATCATGATGCTTGCGCAAACATGCTTCACTGTCTTCACAGTGTACTGTGGCTTGAATTCAGTGTTTGGGGGTCGTCTGACAAACTGTCTCCGTCACTAGACCCAAAAAGAACAGTTTTACTTTCATCAGTCCACAAAATGTTGCACTATTTCTCTTTAGGCCAGTCAATGTGCTCTTTGGCAAATTGTAACCTCTTCGGCACATGTCTTTTTTTTCAATAGTGGGGACTTTGCGGGGGCTTCTTGCAGATAGCTTGGCTTCACATAGGCGTCTTCTAATTGTAACAGTACTTACAGGTAACTTTAGACCTTCTTTGATCTTCCTGGAGCTGATTGTTGGCTGAGTCCTTGCCATTTTGGCTATTCTTCTATCCATTCGAATGGTAGTTTTTCGCTTTCTTCCACATCTTTCAGGATTTGGTTGCCATTTTAAAGCATTTGCGATCATTTTAGCTGAGCAGTCTATTATTTTCTGCACTTATTTATGTTTTCCCCTCTTCAATCAACTTTTTAATCAAGGTACGCTGTTCTTCTGAACAATGTCTGGAACGACCCATTTTCCTCAGAATTTTTAGAGAGAAATGCACTGTAACCAGCATGTACAACATTTGCTGCCTTCCTTCCTTTAAATAAGGGCAATAATTGCCACCTGTTTTTCAAAGAATGTATGACCTCACTAATAGAATTCCACACTGCTATTATTTTGAACATGCCCCTTTCAATTAGTGATTCAATTACACAGAATCAGCAACATGCATGTCATGACTGTTGGGTCTGTTGGATTTCTATTACTCTACTACACCTGCTAGTATATTATTTGCCATGTAGAAATATAATTTCTACCAAAAACAGTGATTGATCAGGTTAGTGATGTCTGACTGCTATTATTTTGAACACAACTGTATGTAAAATTACCTTGAGAGAAATGTGGGGGCTGCATTTGCTGATTTGAAATTTGTCCGTTTGTTCTGACTTACTTATTTCTAGAGCCACTGACCCTGACCAAGCATGCAGGTCCAAAATGTCGGTGAAAAGTCAGAAATTCTTACAGGAAACTTGTTCTGTGTCAGTGGATTCAAGTTTTAAGATATGAGTCAGCATTAACGGATAACATCTACTTTATATTTATTACATGAACCGGTACCTTGTTTACATAATCTAACTTAAAAGGAAACAAAATTACAGCTTATTTTTTTCAGATGATCTATTCTGCACCCTCCAGCAAGGGAAAGCCCTATAGTAGTTCTCTAAGCTTATGAGGGGTCTTGGCAGCTGTGTTTGCCTTTTTTTTTTTCAAATTTATTTTATTTACATTTTTTTCCCTAAGTACAAAACAACATAGAAGTCAAACTGACACACAGAACAAAGAAACATAAAAAGAAAAATTTTCAGCACTAAACCCACAAATTGTCATTGTTGAGTGGATGGTGTTTGCCATCATTAACCCCCTTTTGTATTGTGCCGATATTATCACTATTGTAATTAGATTTGGACACTTGGGGGTAGATTTACTAAAACTGGTGCAGCTTTGTATGGTAGCTAATCGGCTTCTAAGTTCAGCTTGTTCAATTAAGGTTTGGCAATAAAACCTGGAGGCTGATTGGATTCTACACAGAGTTGCACCAGATTTTGCACAGTTTTAGTAAATAACCCAATGTCTGTCCTAACAATGGGTTCAAGGTCTAGGAGGCTGGGCTTTTTGTATTGTGTGTTAATTAGGACAGACTTGGGACATGCTCACTTTAAAGCTGGGTGTACACTTTTAGATTCTCATTCAAAAGTTTTTGTTTTAACTACTTCGGCAGTAGAGCAATTTTTTTATTTTTGCACACTTGTAACAGTCTACATTGTTGGCCATAACATTATTTTTTTTTTCTGAAAGCAGAGGCCTTGTAGAATAAAAGGTAGTAGTTGTAATTTTTTATGTTGCACGATATTTGTGCAACTGTTTAACAACTGCATATTACCAGGAAACAAATATAATAAAATGTAACACAATATAATGCACATTTTTGGCCAAATATAAAAGATTGGTTTGGGTCAAGCAAATCAATAGCAAACATGGCAAGTCTTAAAAATTGTGTGTGCACATTATATTGCGAAAAACAATGGTACCCAATAATCTTCATAGGCAACATTTTTAAAGCCTTTACAGCTCATCAGCTTAGAGATAAAAGTGAATTCTGGCACTAAAATTATTGCTCTTCCGCCAATGTTTGTGACAATACCTAACATGTGGTACAATTGTGGTTTACATACACGTGCGCACCCTGTGTACACGTTTGCATTTGTGGGTGTGTGCAGCGCAATGGGCATTATGTTTATCTTTTAATTTATTTTATTAAAGTTTCTTTTTTGAGTTAGTGGTTGTTTCTCTGTCTCCTCCCATCTAACATTGTAAAGCCCTCCAATGTTGCTCCCGGTAAGAGTAGGAGAGCCTGGGAACCACGCTGCCCTCTGGATCACTTTCACTTTGCTGCGAGCAGCCATTGGTGTGTGCTTAACCCTTTGCTCTTTGAACATACTACCTACGTCCAAATTGCTGAAATAGTTAAGGATGTTTGTTTAAATTTCTGATAGTGGGGGTCAGATGACTTGTTTTTGACCAAATTGATGAGAAATTTGAAAGAGGCAACATGGAAATATTTTTTTTTAACAAACAAAATTCTAACAGTGTATGTGGTTTTCATTTGGTAAAGTATATTTACTCCAAAGTTTAATGTTAAATGCAGCAAAAGAAATTTTGATCTATCTTCGACTGGCACTCAAGCCGTCTAATATGCTGCGAATTTTCATATGAATGTTTACTTGAAAATCTACTAGCATGCACCTAACTTAACGTTGTTCAAGAAACTTTGCTGTCAGCAATGAGCTCTCCTCCTGAGAAACATCTAAAAGGAAAGAGATACACACACACACACTTACGTTAACCGCTTCCTGACTGCCCCATAGCAGAAATAATGCTAGAGGGTGGCACGGGTGCGCAAAAATCACGTGTATATATACACATGATTTTACTTTTCCGAGTAGGAGGCGCACACGAGCCCTACCCGCGGCGCCATTCACGGCTCTCAGACCCGGTGATTAGCTGCCGAAGCCCGGTTATTACCGACGATCGGGGAGGAGGGCTGCTTTGTTTACTAACAATCCTGCTTCCTGTCAGCTCGGGCACACTGCTCTGGATGGCTGTGCATGAATGAATGAGTCCCTCATTCATTTTTCAAAAATGAATGAGTCCCTCATTCATTTTTCTGGCCACCTTGCATTCAAACAATTTCTCCCCAGCAAACGTGCCAGATACGGGGTCAAGATGTACAAGACCTGTGAGAGGGCAACAGGCTATACATATGAGTTTCGGATTTACGAGGGAAAAGATCACGTGAAGCCCCCCCCGGATGCCCAGACTACATACTAGATCGTTTGGGACTTGGTGTCATCCTTTTTCCATATGGGGTACCACTTATACGTGGACAATTTTTTTATTCAAGCTTGCCATTATTTAGACATTTGTACAACCTTGGAATTGACACATATGGCACCGTGCGACCTAATTGCCGTGGCTTCCCCCAACGGCTTGTAAATACCCGTCTTAGGGGGAAAAAGCCTGCTTGAGAAATGAGGATGTCATTCAGCTGCAGCATCGACTTGTTTATTCTGACAGCAACAGGGTCTTGCTCTCAGAATATACATAAGTAGGTTTGTGCAGTGCTGTTGGATGATATTTTTGAACCCCAGTTAAAAAAAGAGCATATATGCCGAAGCATGGGGGGCCTGGGGTGGCCAGTGGATGAATGGCCCCTATGCTTCGGCATATATATTTTATAATATTTTTTGGCATATTTCATATGTGCCCACCATTAGAAGTGGATGGATGCAGGGCGATATATTATAATGGTTGGCATACCACACATTTTTTCTGGCAGAGATTTCTTCTCTTTTTTTCATTCAGCCCTCAGGCTGCATAAAAAAAAAGAACATAGCATATACACCAAACAAGGACCAGCGACGTACTGGTAAATCACTGGACTTATAACATTGAGTATTTATAACAGGATGATGCCTGTGATCATCTGGTGATCGGCTTTCATGTAAAAGCATACCTAGTGGCTAATTAGCTGCGAGATTACTTTTACAAGCAGCGGGAGAAGATGCCCTCGCTGCCTTCCATGGCCTTCTCAGGCAGTCCCGTGCCAACAGGGGAACCTGAGAATGCAACAGGCGTTTCGGCCAGCTGACTATAGA